CCCTCAAGCCCTAACCTCCCCCACCCCTAACCTCCGAGGCCCTCTCCTGGTTCTCAGCCCCGCTCACCAGCCCATAAGGCGGAAGAGGTCAGGCTGGGACTCCGGGGGCTGCAGGGCCTGGCAGGCCGGACAGAAGCGAGGCAGCCCCTGCCCCCCGCGAGCGGGGAGAGGGATGCCACAACTCCAGCAGCGTGGGACGGGGAGAGAGCCGGGCTCTGCGCTACGGGGCCGAGAAGAGGCGGCTGGAGCCTGAGAGCCCCACAGCGCCCTGCAGAGCTGACCCCTCCGCACAACCCACATCGGGCCAGAACTACAACTCCCAGCAGCCCCCGCGAGACCAGCTAACGCCGGATTGGCTGAGTTTATAAGAAGAATCGCGCGGGGCGCATGCGCAATGAGCGGCGAGGTCGGACTGGGAGTCGGGTCACCATTCATTAGGTGCGCGCGCGCGCGGGTGAGTCCGGGTCTCGGGGTCGCGTGGTGGTCAGTCCCCATTGCCCTCTGCGTGAGTCCGCACGCGCCGGTAGGCCCGGCCGCGGCCTGCCCCCGCCGCGCTGCACCCTCGAGGGGCGGGGCCGGGCCGTCTGACGGGGGCACCCCTGGGTGCCGGGTGCGCTGGTCTCTGCCCCGTGGTGGCCGCAGCCCAGCCTGCCCGGCCCTCGGAGCCCTCCCTCCCAATGCCACACTGAGCGGGTCCCGCGGAGCAAGGCGCGGGGAGACTGGTTGGCGGGACGCTGTGCGGCAAGGTCTGCCTCAGGCTAGCCAGGGAGGCTCTCCCCCGCAGTGATTTACTCCCTGCCAGCTGCCTGAAACTGGGGGGTACGTGCTGCGGGGGGCACGTGACCTCTCTTGCCGCTTCCCTGTCCGAAAGTCATTTTTCTGCGGGGAAGCAAGGAAATCTGCATGTGACGTGAATTCTGTGCGTGCGCAGTGGTGCAAAATTCCTCAGGAGAACTTTTTGGAGGTGACATGAACTGCCCATTCATGGCTTCTGCAACCTCGTGTTTCTCTGCCAGAGTTGGGTCCTTTGCACTAGTGTCCTTGTTGTGTTTCAATTTGGGTAACAGCCTCTTGTTTCCCCATAACTATCTGTTTTAGTGGCTTCTACAGTACCTATCACAACAGTCCCCAAAATGCTCTCTGTCTCTGCTGCGTTAAATGTATACAGCATCTTTTACTTTCCATCCTATGCTATACATTACTATACATTGTGAAAAGGCTCCTGTGCATCTCCCCTAAGGTAGCTGCATCTCAGATGGGGGGCTAAGCAATTGCTGCTGGAATGATCAGTAATGTGGAGAAGTGCTTTGGGGGGGGTCTCTTTAGCTGAAATGTACTGTGGAAATACATGATCATTATAATCTTCATTAACTACTTTACAGATTATTTCGTGCTCTGATGCCTATTTCTTGCGCAAGTGTAGCAGCTGATTGTATAAGCTTCATGTCATTGTGTACCTATGTAGAGTATCTGCAATCAAGGTTGAGACTTTAGGTGTGTATCCAAAGCTAAGGCAAAAACAAAAGAAACAACCTCTCTTGGGATGTCCAGCAGTTTATCAGAGTAGTAAGTAGTATAAAATGAAGTTGACAGGTTTTTTTTAAAACACACAACACAGACTGTCCTCTTTTTTAAGAACGGTACCAATATTGGGAAGGGATAGCATCAGAAGCTTTTCTATAATATTGAATGTTTTTTTGCTTAGGATTTGCTACTTGTAGCATTCTTTTTGCCAAGCTGAATCATTGTCTAATTTGTCCCTTTCTGTTTGGAGAGCTGTTGTTGTACAAATGCACATGAAATCTGTGCCCTGAAGAGCTTACCCAAAAGTCAGGGATTGTGGTTTAACTGCTGCTGTACAACTAGCAGAGGGAGTGTTACCCATTTTTTTGAAATTCTTGTTCAATGGAAGTGGATTACAAAAAAAAATAGAGCAAGCAGAACATTACCCACAAGGCTGCTGAGTTCTTTAGGCCAGTAATTTTACCTGGAAAACTACTACATTGTCTGTTTTAACTGTATTTAAATATTTGTCAGCTGAATTAGCTTTGGTGATGAGAAATCCTATACAATATAAAGTAATCTCTGTTTTAAACTTTGGTTCTGAAGCCAAGATGTCTCGAGAGACTGGAAATGAATCCCAGCAATCTCAAGGTGCCCAGCAGTCTCAGGGTGGTACAAGTTCTTCCTCCAGTGGATCACAGAGTGCCAGTCAGTCTTCTTCCAGTTCTGGGACCCTCAGTTCTTTGGACACAGTTCCTACTCAGGAACTTCCTTCAATTCCTGAGGATCAGGAACCTGAAGAAATCGTTCCTCAGCCATGGGGTCGACTCTTTGCACTTGGAAAGAGTTTCTGCAATTATGGTATGTATATACCATAGTGGGTTCTCTCAAGCCAGTGTGTGTAATAGGACAAAAAATCCTGAAGAAGTTTAATAAAATGGAATATTTCACTTTTGAATGAATGGTAAAGTATTGATGGTGTAATTGCAGTTTTTGTTTGGATTTTTGTAGGGAGTGTATATTCAGTAAGAAACGTTGCTGCCATAGGGAACTGAGATACACAGCATCTACCAATCTGGAGGAAGAATTTTTTCAGAATTCTCCTTTACTGCCTCCCTATTTGCCTGGCTAAGATTTTGTGCTATTGAATGTTAGTATAGCCATATATTTGTAAAATTTGACCCCAGAGCAGAATGAAACAAAACCTTTTAACTTGTCTCATTACTGAACCCAAGGTGGGGAAAAAGAATAATGATATCTGTAAGAATAATTTGATGCCTAGATGCATGCCATCTATCTGCTAGAACTAAAAAAAGCTGTTTTAATCTGCATGACTCAGTAGCAGTCTGTATGCTCTTCCTGGTCTTAGGCAGAGCAAGTCAAGTGCAGATGGATATACTGTGGGAGCAGTGCTTTTGCCATGATCTCATGTCAGTCTGCTGTATTGACTTGGAGTAGATAGACCTTAGAGCCACAACAGACTTCACTTGCTTGTTAGTGATCTGCCATTAGGTTTTCCTTTGTTAATAATGCACAATTACCTTATTTTTAAAAATAGATTAATAGAGTAAATTTATAACAGTTCTGTCACAGTTCTATCAGGCAGTGTCTGCATTTTTCTGGTGGTAACTGACTCCTCTTAAAAAGGGATATGAAAAATTACCATGTCTATTAGCCTAGAGTCGATACAAAAAGATTTTCTTTTACATCAAGTATCAGAGGGGTAGCCGTGTTAGAGGTGCCTAATGAATTTGAAATTCTACCTCCCTTCTAGCTGCTGGAAGGGAAAAGGTGCATTCTGCTTCTAGTGCCTTCCCCCAAACCTCCTAGCTGCTGTTAAGGCAAAGGGTTTCCACTACTTTACACATTGTTCAGCTTCCTGGGTGCTGTGGGGGGCAGGGGAATAAGTCTCTTTTACTGTCACTCTTCCCCAGCCTTCGATTTTTGAAACTTCTCTAGTGGATTGATCATTCCATCTCAATACTAAATTTGAGTATCTCTGTTATTGCTCAAAGTTCTCCCAAGCACCAGCAATCTAAAATTAATCTTATTCTAGACAATTTCACACCTGTCCATCAGTGAAACCGACCAGAGTTGTGTTTATCTTACATTGCTGTTGCCTGACAAAGTTCTGAGTAACAGCAGAAGCCTTGGAGCTATCTGCAGAAATGGGGACATCATATAAAACTAGATTCATGTTTGAAAAACTATTATTACAATTATAAGGGCTAGAAACTTAAAGGGATACCCTCAACATGAAATGTAGTAAATCTTTAAAAAAAAAAAAAAAAAAAAGGCTAAATAGTTTCAGGCATTACAACTGACCCTGAGCCTCCCTGACAATTTGCTTTTTCTATTTTTAAAAAAACCTTTGCATCTTCCCTGTAGCTGTGTGAAAGACTCACAGAAATTACTAAACTTTAAGCCCTGATCCTGCAAACAATTATGCACATGAATGATCCCAATGTAATTACTTACATAAGTAAAACTAAGCATGTTTGTAAGGATTGAAGCATTAGTTGGGATTGTCACATCACTAGATTTTTGAGAACCTTTTAACTGCCACATCTGGGCATTATTTTTTCTTGTTGCTGCAGTTTTGTTTATTACTGATCATTGCTCTAGATATTAATGTTTTGGTTCTTTAAATTAGCTTTTCACCATTTAAAAATTGACTGATTACGCATAATTTATTTTAAAGGGGTCTGATTCTTTATGCATATGAATTCTGGTGTTTCTCAAACAGAATTTGTAATTTTTGGAGTGAGACAATTTTTTTATTTTGCTTAACATTTTCATTCTTATACAAGAAATGTTAAATGTGAGTCATGTTAAAAGGGTCAGAACGGGGGCGGGAAACAAGTGTCTTCTATCTTTATTTAGAAATAAAGAAGTATCATAGGGTTCAGGCAGTGTCTGATGAATCTTGCTTTGTCTCCTGTTCCAAGTGCTATCATTTGGTACCATTTTGCAGTGGTAGGTCTAACTTACTGGAATTTTGTGTTATCTCTCTCTTTCTTCCTTCCTTCCTCCTTGTCCCCCCAATCCCAGACTGCGTGAATGACGAGTGTTGGTTTGGCAGAGACAGAAGCTGTGATTATAGCTTTGCTAAGCTAGGGTTGACCGAGACAGGCTTATACCAAAACTACAGCAAGAAGCACTTCCGAATCTTCAGGGTAGGTGCTAAAAAGGCCATTTTACCCCTTTCCCTCTGTTCTGTAAAGAAGGAAACTGGATTAACTGAAAAATTCTAAATCAAAGCTTCACTGCTTTTCAGACAAAGTGGATTGATTTAAATCAGCAACCAGGAAGCCTTGATTTAAATCAGGGGTAGGCAACCTATGGCATGCGTGCCAAAGGCAGCACGCGAGCTGATTTTCAGTGGCACTCACACTGCCCGGGTCCTGGCCAGTGGTCCGGAGGATCTGCATTTTAATTTAATTTTAAATGAAGCTTCTTAAACATTTTAAAAACCTTATTTAATTTACATACAACAATAGTTTAGTTATATATTATAGACTTATAGAAAGAGACCTTCTAAAAACATTAAAATGTATTACTGGCACATGAAACCTTAAATTTGAGTGAATAAATGAAGACTTGGCACACCATTTCTGAAAGGTTGCAGACCCCTGATTTAAAAAATCAATTTGAATCTTACTTTGCATACATAGTTTTTAGTTATTTTCTTAACGAAAAGTTGGTTCTCATTGGTTGGTAACCATTAAAACATACTGATTTGCAACTAAATATAGCCTTTACACTAAATGTAGTACCAGGAGAATGTGCTATATTTATCCACATTTATTTAGACAATTATATAGCGTAACATACATTTATTTGTGTTCTGAATTTTTGCATTTTTTTTATTCTGTTAGAAATGGTGAATGGTGCATTTCTTATTAGTAGGTGATTTTAATTTTTACATGTGATTTGTGTCAAGCTCTATTTGGATGGAAACTGGAATTCAATTAAAAATGAGCAAAACCAGCATAACTAACTTACAAGTCTTAAACTGGGGTCCTACATGGATTAGTTCTTGGTCCTACGCTGTTTAATAACCTAGAAGAAAACATAAAATCATCACTGGTAAAGTTTGCAGATGACCCACAAGTTGGGAGAGGTAGTGAAGCAGACAGACAGATCACTGATTCAGAGCGACCTAGATCTCTTGGTAAACGAGCAAGAAAACAATATATGTTTTAACATGGCTAAATTTAAATGTATACATCTAGAAACAAAGAATGTAGGTCATACTTACAGTGTGGGGGGCCTCTATCCTGGGAAGCAGTGACTCTGAAAAAGATTTGAGGGATGTGATGGATAATTAGCTTAACATGAGCTCCCAATATAAATACTGCGGCCAAAAGAACTAATCCTATCCTAGGATTCATAAACAGGTATGTTGAGTAGGAGAAGATAGGTTATTTTACCTCTGTATTTGGCATTTGTGTGACTGCTGCTGAAATACTGTGTCCAGTTCTGGTGCCCACAATTCAAGAAGGATGCTGATAAATTGTAGAGGGTTCAAAGAAGAGCCATGACAGGGATGAAAAGAGCTCAGTCTCTTAAACTTAACAAAGAGAAGGTTAAGGGGTGACTTGATAAGTCTATAAGTACCTACATGGGGAACAAATATTTAATAATGGGTTCTTCAGTCCAGCAGAGAAAGGTGTAACCTGATCCAATAGCTGGAAGCTAAAGCTAGTCAAATTCAGACTGGAAATAAGGTGTAAATTTTTAACGGTGAGAATAATTAACCATTGGAACAGTTTACCCAGGATTGGGGCTGATTCTTCATCACTGAGAATTTTATATCAAGATTGGATGATTTTCTGAAAGATATATTATTTTAGGGAGGCTCTATGCTCTGGGTTATACAAGAGATCAGACTAGATGATTAAAATGGTCCCTTCTGGCCATAGAATCTATGAATGTTTTTATGGGTCAAATAAAACTATGTTAAATGTGCTTGATACACAAGAAGATGTAAAAGATGTCAAAACATGCTTGGCATTTAAAACTAACTGATTTATTAAATAAAAGAAGTATATGAAGTTAATGAATCTATGATGGTTTCTGGTCACTATGTATTTCAGGATTTTAGAACTAGTAGATTTCATCCCCTCACTGTTTTCATACATCGATTGGAAGAGGAAAACAAGCTTTCCTGATTTTTCAACTCCCAATCATTTTCTTATCTTTGAAGGAGCTAGTCATTGATCTGAATAAGTTGAAAAAAATGAAATGAAGAAAATATCCTCTCTGCACATGTAGAAGAGGCTACTGCTGTCAAAAGCTGGTTTGCATGTCAGAAAATTCTGGTTTCAGATGCTTAGCCAGTGACTTCTAGCAGTTCAGAGATTTGACATTCTATAAAACTTTGGGAGTAAACATGTACTGCTTAATATTTTTTCATTTAATTTACATGATTTTGATAGATTATAGTAAATGTAGGCCTTAACATTGGTTGTCATAATTTAATTTTAAATAGGTTTATTTTTTAAAAGAATGTAGTTAATTTAAATAAAAATCTATTTTTTTTTCTTTTTTAAAAATCACTGATTTTTATCCACCTTGTTTTCATAGACTTGAGTCATAGGGTTTAAGGCTAGAAGGGACCACTCGGTTATCTAGTCTGACCACCTGTACATCAGAGACCACTGATATCACTCAACATTCACATACTAAACTCAACAATCAAAATTAGACCAAACTATTAGTCTCCAGGAGACTAAACTGTTATGTGCCACATGCAGAGAATAGGGATGCCAGGGATCTCAAACACAGGGCAGTGGGGCTGCTGAAAGCATGAGCTTTTTCCTCTGCACCACTGAGCTGCAAGGGGAGATGAGGGAACTGATGCTAAAACCCCACCACCAAAAGTTACACCCACTGAGTGCACAAGGTCAGATGACTAACAGAACACTGCTGATTGGATACCACTCGCTATAAAGTTTGCTCTTCCTGTCCCATCTCTTGTCTGAGCAACATGCCTACTGACTAGTTGCCAGGCCTGTTGCTGCGCAGACCTCTGAGACCAAGGCTAGGTCTAGACTGGGGGGGAGGGGGATGGTTCGACCTAAGATACGCAACTTCAGCTACGCGAATAGCGTAGCTGAAGTCGGCGTATCTTAGGGTGATTTACCTGGCCGTGAGGAGGGTGGCGAGTCGACTGCTGCTGCTCCCCCGTCGACTCCGCTTCCGCCTCTTGCCGCGGTGGAGTTCTGGGTCGATGAAAGAGCGATCGGAGATCAATTTTATTGCGTCTAGTGTAGACACGATAAATTGATCCCCGATAGATCAATCACTACCTGCCGATCTGGCGGGTAGTGTAGATGTACCCTAAGTCTCTGCTTCCTTGCCTGATTTCTACTCCTTATTCCTGCTACCATGCCTCGTCCCTGCTACCTACTGTGTCTCTTCCCTGCTCCTGTTACCAGATCTGTTTCTTGATTCCTGCTTCCTCACTCAGACCTCAGTTGCTGACTCCAGCTTTGACCCTTGGCATGACTTCTGGCTCTGACTCTAGCTTGTCCATTGGTGTGACCACAGTTTACTCCTGGCTCCAACCACTAGGTCAGAGAACCCACATTAAGGGCTCTAACAAAGAGGGACTGTGGTGCACCAGTACATGAGGCTGTTGCAAAGGCAGAGAAATGATTAAATGAGCTATATAACCACCATCCACACACACTGCAGAGGAAGGCAAAATAACCTCAGGGTCACTGCCAATCTGACCTGGGGGAAAATTCCTTCCCTGTCTCCGCATATGGCGATAAGTTAGACCCTGAGCATGTGAGCAAGAACCAGCCAGCTAAGCAACTGAGAGAGAATGCTTGGGGCCACTTCAGAGCCTGGTGTACCCCACTAAGTGTCCCATCTTCAGCCATATCCATTCCTGAGGCTTCAGAGGAAGAAAATTAATAAAAAAACAACAAAAAACCCTCCCAGAATATCATCTCTTCTCTGGACCTCTCCTACTTTAATCTTTCTTGAACATGGGTGACCAAATGAGGTCTTACGAATGTCTTGTACAGTGGCTCTAATACTTCTCTATCTCTACTGGAAATCACCTAATAAATTGTAGGATCACATTTGCCTTATTCACAGCTGGTAGCAGTTCATAGTCATCCTGCGATCGACCCACACACCCAGGTGTCTCTCCTCTCTCACTTCCAACTTAGGAGCTCCCAGCTTACTGCAGAAATTCTCATTATTAGACTTTAAGTGCATGACCTTGCACTTTGTAGTATTGAATTTTATTCCATTTCTGTCACTCCAGTCTTCAAGGTCAGCCAGATCTTCCTTTATAATGTTCTGATCTTCCTCTGTATTGACAGTGCCTCTCAACTTTGTATTATCATCATATTTAATTAGCACACTCCTACTTTTTGTGCCAAGGTCATTATTAAAAGTCTAGAATAACATTGGTCCCAAGACCAGTCCTTGAGGAACTTTGCTATTAACCTCTTTCTAGTCCAATAATTTAACTTTCAGCACAACCCATTGCCATCTCCCCTTTAGCCACTTCCTTATCCACCTTACCATGCTTATACTGATCCCCATCTTCTGTAATTTAACTATTAATTGCCCATGTGGTACTGTGTCAAATGCTTTAGTGAAGTCCACGTATGTTAGATCTACTGCACTTACCTTATCTAAAAATTCAGTTAATCTGGCATGATCTACCCTTGTTTAATCCATGTTGCATTACGTCCCCATTACATTTACTTCTATGAATTTAATTATCCTTTCCTTCACAATTTGCTCTAAAATCTTGCATACCACAGGGCAAACTAACTGGTCTGTAACTGGCCGAATCACTTTTTGTTTGTTTTTTCCTTTTCTTAAATATAGCCTGACATTAGCTATTCTCCAGTCATATGGTACTACCCCTGAATAGATAGGTTTATTACAAATCCTTGCTACTGGACTAGACATCCCACATGACAGCTCTTTCAGTATTCTGGGATGGAAATTATCCAGCCCCTCTGATTTGAGCACGAGTTTTTCTTCCACATCAGATGTGGTAATTTCCATTTCTAGTCACTCATTTCCATCAGCCAGACTGCCTTCATGCCCATTCTATATTATCATTGTTATTGAGAGCTGAGGTCAAATATTCATTTAGTTTTTCGGTCATACCTAAATTATCTTTTAATCTCCTTCCCATCCACACTGCATAGCAGCCCAACTTCATTCTTCCTTAATCTCTTGTATAATTAAAAAACCTCTTTATTATTTATTTTAATTTCCTTGGCAAGAGCTAATTCAGCCTGACTTTTAGCAATTGTCATTTTATTCCATTTTCTGACCTCCATGATGTAGCTTTCTTTGCTAATCAACTTCTTTCTTCATTCTCTATATGTTCTCTGCTTACTCCTAATAACCTTTTTAGGTAGATATTCATTCAGCTGTGTCTGAGCCTTTCCCTACAAGTTTTTTTTCCCCCTTTCTTGGGAAATTTCAGATAGTTTTTGTATAGTTGATTTGAAGAAATTCCACGCCTCTTCTGCATTTTTAAGTCTATGAGCTCTTCGGTCCAACTGACTTCTTAAACTAGTTCTCTTAATTTCCCAAACTTTGCCCTTTTGAAATAAATGATGATGATCTGGTTTTGATTATCCTTCTACAGATGCCTCCCGGGTTACGCAAACCTGATTTATGCAAATCCTCAGTTACGGAAAAAGTTCCGTAAACTAGAAACAGGAGTGGGGTTTTTTTGGCTTTTTTTTTTCTGCGTAATGGTCAGGTATACGTTTCCGACTTGCGCAAAATTCGAGTTATGCAAGGTGTTCCGGAACGGAACGCTTGCGTAAATCGGGGAGCGACTGTATTTAATTTAAACTGAATCAACTTGCGATCACGCTATCCAAGGTTATTTCCTACAATCAGCTCTTCTATGATGTCCTTCCTACTTACTAAAATCTAGTCCATGACAGTTTGATGAAGAAAACTGTAATCTGTCACATCCAAGAATAATTGGGCCCCAACAGTATTAATAGCATTTATTCTCCCATCTGTATCCGGGAGGTTAGTCTCCCATTATGCCACAATTCCCAACAGTATTTATCTCTTTAATAATATTAAAGCGATCACTATCCATGTCTGAGTTTGACCTGGGGGTCTCTTGTATTGATTTTAAGGGCTAAAAAGAGTTAAAGAAGTTTAACTTTTTTATTGTGTAACATTAAAACAGTGATACTTAGTTGTTTCTGTTTTTTAACAGAGGCCTTGGTTTTACTTGGTTTCTTGGCAAACGTAAAAGTATTTATTTTAAAATTGAAAGTTTATTGATTTAAACACAGAAAAAAACAAGAAATGAAAACAGGCATTTGTATTGAAACTGAAATTGAATGATTATGCAAAACTTAATTAAAATTTTTACAAAATGAGTTTTTTTCATTTTTATTAACCCTTTCCATCAAAAAAGGGTAATTTTACTTTGTTATGATGTGTGAAGAGTATTTACTTCTCCTGTTTCTAACAAATAGACACAAGGTGGATGGGAAAGAGATGATAGAAAGGTGGAGGAAATTCAGATTTGTTGTTTTTGGAACACTGGACGGTTATGAATGAAGGCTTTGTCTGGCAGGTTGACCGTGACACCTCTTGCTTGGATCCTGGTACACATCATCTGATTGGGTTTTTCTCCTTAGACAGGGCAGGATTGTGGTCATCTCAACTGCCTGTGCTGATGCAGTGCAGCTGATTTCAGGATTTGATGAAAAGCCAAGAGCATGAGAGAGAGGCTAGGAGGAAGGAAAGGGGACAAAGTAACACAAAAGGAAAGGAGGCGGAACAGGATCCTGGCATGCCTCTGCCGTGCTGGCAATTAGGTAGCCACACAGATGGGCTGGATGTCATGATGATCTAATGATTTTTAGGACTTTCAAGTGAAAAACAAAAGTTCCTTGAACAAGAGCAAGGCCTACTGGCCTTCCACTCAGGCTGAAAATCCTTCAGTCTGGTCTGCACCTTCTGTCTTGGGGTCAGAGAAGATGAGACGAGATGAGTGGGGATGCAAGGTGTCTCTCCCCCACTCCTAAAGTCTCTCTTAAGAACTCCCAAAGGGGGAAAAGTGGGCATCATAGTTCATCCCCCTTATTATTTTGTTCACCAGCTAGGCCTAATATTTACCACACTAATTTTAGTTAATTCATTTCTGGCTTTACATTTTATTTTCTTTACTAAACATGATTTTAACAGTTTTTAAACTATATTAGTAGGCCTTTTTTTGTTTGGACAAATCTAGTTTTTGTCTATTTTTTGCACTTACTCATAACTATTATTAAAAACAACTCGACCTATTTTCTATGAACATTTGTTGTTATAGGTTGTAACATTTGGTGAACTTTCGCTTACTTTTTACTATTGAACTTAAAGTAAATTTTTAGGCCCAATAATCACATCAGATATATAGCAGGTCCCTAACACTATCTCCACAGAACCTCTTTTACAACCCTTCCCCAAAGTGATTTTGACCCAAACAAATTCTGTTTTGTCTATAGTATAGCTTTGTATTTCTTTACAATTTACTGCTTTGTTGATGTACAACACCACCCCAGCACCTTTACCTTTATTCCTGTCTCTTCTAAACAGCACATACCCTTCAATAACTATATTCCAGTAATGAGTGCTATTCCACCATGTTTCTATGATCCCTATAATATCTTGTTTGACCTCCTGCACCAGTAGTTCCAGTTCCTCCATTTTATTGCCTAGACTCTTTTCATTTGTGTACAAGCATTTCAGTTGTTTCCCTCAGGCCTCCCCACTTATTAGTCATGACAGCCTTGGTGCCAGAAGATTAATAACCTAGGTACTTGACTGGAAATCATCTGTTGAGAAGAGTCGTCCTTCCCTAGTTGCCTCCTAATGGTTCATCATCCCCAAACCTGCCTTGTAGCTCCAATCTTTGAGCCCTCAGTTGATCTTCATTATGTTGTCATGCCATCACCCTCCTTCTCTAGGGATGAGAAGTATTCCACAGAAAATCATCTGAGCTTCCACGTCTGTAAATGTCTTAGCCAGTTGAGTGTAGTCGTCCTTGATCCATTCCAATGGGAATCTAGCAGTGTCATTCATCTTGACATGCAGAACAGTCATTGGATTTTTTCCTGCTTCCATCAGGTCCTCTCCAGTCTCACATCCACTCTTGTATCCTTGCTCCTGCCAGACAGCACACTCTTCTGTTCTCTAGATCTGGTCTGGTAACAGGCCTGTCAGTTCTTCTGAGTATGGAGTCCCCAGTCATGTAGACCATCCTGGTGTAGATATGAATTTGTTTTATGTTCTCTCTTGCAGTCCCATGTACATCATCCTCACTTTTCCTTAGGCTCCAGTCCCTGGCTGTCTCCATCATCTCTTTCTCTCTTCTGCAGGGATTGGCTTCCTTTCTTTTCTTCTTCACCGCCAGTTAACAGAGTGTTGCCAAACACATTCTTTAAAACCATTTTCATGATGTATTATTTCCTTAATTAAGAAAAATAAATTGTTATAAACTCTGATATGGTTCATTACAGCCTCATGATAAAAGCCATTTTTCAGTATTGTTACCTTTTTTTCTTTAGGAAATGGGACCAAAAAACTCCTATGTTGCCTACATTGAGGACCACAGTGCAAATGGGACTTTTGTAAATAAAGAGCTCATTGGGAAAGGGAAAAGGCTCCCATTGACTCACAATTCTGAAATTGCACTGTCTGTACAGACTAACAAAGGTAAAATAAAGTACAAAGACAAATTGATTTTGAATAGCATCTTTCTTAAAATTGTGCTCCTTCTAAATGCTTTAGAGAAAAAATAATAGATGGAAACCATGGATAAAGGTAATATTTTTTATTTGCCCACTATTTTTTATACACAAAATCTTGAAGATTGTTATATCCACCTGAAATTAGTAAATTTTAAAAAGTGAGTTAAAAGTATTTGCTGGTACTACATTTGATCTGGAGACCCACCACCAAAGTTTGTGCTTTTAAAATAACATATTTTTAAAAATGCTTTTCTCGCACAGTTGTTAAACAGGGAAAACTGATTTACTATACAGGGGAAGTTGTGAATATGACTGTGCATATGGCAGCATCTTATGTACAAAGGAAACAAACTGAAAAATTAGAGAGAGGATTTTTTTTGTAGTGGTACAATGAATGCATGATTCTCACTCTTGGGTTTTAGATCTGTAGCATAAGACTGACGGGTCTCTCCTTGTATTTTTACTCTTGAGTACAGAGGTAATAGATTATGAAGACGTGTTGGGATTTGTCATGCTGGAGAATTGTGAAACAGATGATATTGAAGATGTTACTATTACGGAAGTTCTCTTTCAATAATGAGATCACCTTGTTAATCAAAAGTATTCTTTCAAGTGTTTGCATATGTCCATTTTACTGTAGGTGTGTGTGCGCCCCATGTACAGGTGTTGGTGATATTTTTTCCTCAGTAGTACCTGTTGGGATGGCTGGTGTGCCCTCTGTCGCCACACACCACTGCATGGTGGTATAAAAGGGTGGAACCACCATGACTTCCCATCCAGTTCCTTACCGCCAGTGATGGTGATTCAGACTTGTTAACTCAAGTGCTTTCCTCATTCCTTTTCTGTATATAGATCCTGTTTACTAATTTGTCAGTTATAGTTAGTGTTGGACAATTGTTAGTACTAGGTTGCTGCATTTGGTCTCTCTTGACACTTTCTATCTTTTGGTACAGCTACCGGAATGATGCCGTGTTCACCAGGTTTTAAGTCCTGCTGGACCTCTGTGAAACCCAAGCCAGTCAGTGACCCACACCTGACCTGTTAGAAATGTTTGGGGGAATCCCATGTTAGTGACAATGTCACATCTGCAAAGGGTTCAAGCTTTCTTGAAAAAAGATAGTGTGACGAGGCTTAAGTGCTTGCTCGTGGATGCAGCACTTTGACCCCTATCAGAGTCGTCACAGGGGTGAGTGCCCCATGTACATTTACTTCAGTACGGAGCTCTTTGCTGGAGATGTCTGTGGCTCATTGGGATTGTTCCCGAGTACCAAAGAAAAGGCTTAGGCATTCCTCTGGTTCGGTGCCTCGCTTGCCTGTGTCGGTACCCTGACGGAACCAGAGACCAGAAGAAGCGTTTGGGGGATAAATCCCCTCCAGAATGCTTAATGCTTCCCAAGAGGGGATTGCTGCCTCTGAAGCTTGTGCCAGACATTTCCCCTGAAAGACATTTATGGCACCAACAGAGGGTGCCGATCGCAGCAACCCTGGAGGCGTATGCAGCTGCAAGAGACTTGCTTAGCTTCTTGGTACTGCCTGTGGTTCATACCTTGCCTCATTGAGATAGTGTGGTGCTGCTACCCAAGCCTCCACAGAAATCCGTGTTGTCTAGAGGAAAGCCTCCCATGATTTCCCTGGTTCTGCTGTCCTCGGGCTTGGACTACGTCTTACCAGTCCATTCTGGATTTGCACCTCCGTTGTCAGAAGCATCTGACTCTCTTTTCCATGGACTCAGAGGTGAGGTCCTCTGTATCCCGCCCAGGATGGGGAACATACCTCCCCATCAGAGTCGTTGGGACCATGGGCCATGCACTGGGATCCTTCTAAGGGTCAATGGCCCAGGCAAGGATGGGTCTTGGGCCAGTATCGATGGTCATGCTGGATACATTCTGGTGTCCCCACAGCTAGAACTTTCCTTGAAGCATCTTGCTCACTGACATGGAGAGTGCACCAGAGGCATTGGTACCGAGAGCACCATTCCCTGGTACTGAGCAGCCAGAAGCCACTCAGGCACCCCCCTGCCACTAGTCACAGACTAACCACCACCTCAGATGTTTGTTTCATCCTTGTCACCTGATGAGGTAGTTAAGTGACACCGCCAGAGGACCACGTTGCTCATCAAGATCTTTTTAAAATAGCGGCTTCTGTACTTGACATTCAGGCAGAAGAGGTGCATGAAAGCTCTCACAAGTTGTTGGACATCCTGGTATCAGCGACAGCACCATGGTGCAGCCATGAGACCATCATGGAGCCAGTCAAGGCCCTTAGGCAGGCCCCCTCCTCCTGGGACCTCACAGCAAAACGAGCTGAGAGGAGGTGCTTTGTCTCCTGTAAGGGGTATGACCATTTTTATTCTCATCCCCACTCTGTGTTCTCTTGTGGCAGCTGCCAATGAGCGGGATAGAAAGGGACAAAAAGCTTCTGTGCCAAAAAGCAAAGCCTCAAAGAAGCTGGATCTGTTTGGTCACAAATTTTATTCCTTAGGAAGCAAAAAGAAAGCAGTGTCACCCACAATAGTTATACAGAGAGCAGGGGTTTGCTCCCCAATCCCAAGATCCACTAAGGAAAAAGGACAGAAGTTATAAGAGACGCCCTCCACCGCTCTCCTCTTCATCATCAGTGGGCTTATCCCATCCAGCTGCCTCATACAAACAGTCATGTGGATGGGTTTGTCAAGGACAGTGTACCTGTCACCATAGTCCCATCTGTTCCCCATTGTTTGTTACTAATCGCTTATCCCACCTCCTAAGTGCTTGGGCTCACATAAGTAAGACCTACCAGTCTGAAAGCATGGTGGAACTGCGGTATGCCATCCAGTTCAGTTCTACTCCCCTACCCACCCTCTTCCCTGTCCCTCTTCAGGGACCACTCTCATGAGATTGCCCTTCAACAGGGTGTCCAATCTCTTCTTCCTCTATGGCCCCTGCCTGAAGTACTGTTGAACCTCAAAGGTAAGGGTTTCTATTCCTGCTACTTCCTGATCCACTAGACAAAAAGGGTCTCAGCCTATTTTAGACCTAAGAGAGTTGAACAAATTCCTGAAGAAAATAAAATTCCACATGGTTACCCTATCTTAAATTATTCCTTCCCTGGAGCGGGGGGACTGGTACACTGCTTTCAACTTATTTAAAGGATGTTTATTTCCATGTCGCAATATGCCACGACCATGAGAATTATGTCAGATTCATGGGGAATGGCTGCTATTATCAGTTAACAGTGCTTCCATTCAGTCTGTCAGCTGCTCCTCGAATGTTCACAAAGTGCCTGGCAGTCATAGCAGCTCACCTATGAAAATTAGGTGTCCATGTGTGTACCCATGGTTGGACGACTGGTTGATCAGAGGTCAGTCTGAGGCTAAAGTCCTTTCCAGCATACCAACTGTCCTGTCCGTGTTCGACGCACTGGGGCTCCTAGTAAATCGAGACAAATCAGTCCTAAAACTGGAAAAGACAATACAATTCATCGGAGCAGTCTTAGGGCCCCGTCTACCCTGGCAAGTTTCCGCACAGTAAAGCGGCTTTCTGCACTGTAACTCCTGGGGTGTACACACTGCAAAGCCACTTAGTGTGCAGAAACTGCGCAGTTGTAGCGCTCTAAAAAAAACACCCCAACGAGAGGCGTAGAGCTTTCTGTGCCGGGCTACAGCGCTGCGGTGCCAGTGTAGATACCCTGGTCGATTACAGTGCTGTGATTGGCCTCTGGGAGGTGTCCCACAATGCCTGTTCTCGCCTCTCTGGCCATCGGTTTGAACTCTATTGCCCTGCCCTCAGGTGACCAACCGTCATCCCCACCCCGTACATTTCTTTGCAAATTTGAAAGTCCCCTTCCTGTTTGCTCAGTGATGCGTGCAGTGGTCTCAGCGTATCTTTCCAGGTGAACGTGCCTGCTCCACACACCAGGCGATCCCCCGCTGGGAGAGGAAGCTGTGCAGTCCCAGCTGCGCTACAGCCATAGGAATTATGGCACCTCCGGACAGGTTTCACGATGCATGATAGAAAAGGGCCATGACCGGGACACATTGTAGTGCAGTTTCAAAGTGAAGGTGCTGCGGAACACCTACCACAAGGCGCTGGAGGCAAACTGCCGCTCCGGTGCTGCACCAACGAGCTGCCGGTTTTACGAAAAGCTGGACGTGATACTCGATGGCAATCCCACCTCTATTGCGAAGGCCCCTGTGGATACTTCGTTGGCTCATGTGCCAGTCGAGAGTGGTCCGAGCCAGGAGGAGGAAATCTTGGACGAAAAGGGGGAGGAGGACCCAGAGGCAGAGGATGGCTCGGAGGCCAGAGATGCATTCAGCCAGGAGCTCTTTTCTACCCCGGAGGAGGCTAGCCAGTCTCAGCAGTCGGATCTTGGCGAAGTGCAAACAGGAGAGGAGGCCCCTGGTAAGTGGATCTGATTTTGGGAATTGCTGAAGTGATTTGTTGTGGGCAGGAGGGTTGCAGAAAGCAGGTTTGTCTCCCACCGCATGCCTATTCTGAGTGGCGGAACAGGCTGTTGATAGACTCCCTCACTTCACAGGAGTCTCCCTCAGAGATTTCCAGGAAACTCTCGTGGAGATACTGGGCAATCCGCTGCTGCAGGTTCCTCAGCAGAGCTGCTTTGTTTCTTGCCCCATTAACGGTAACTTTCCCGCACCACTGTGTTATGGCGGGGAGGGAGCGGGGGAGGGAACTATTGCTGCACACAGGTGAGCCGCATAGGGCAGAAGCCGCAGGCTTGGAGAAGACCCTCCCCTGATTCCCTGCTCACCCTCAGCAGCGAGATATCTTCCATAATGAACACAGCCTGTGGAAAGTGTGGGAACAGGAATGATTATCAAGCCCCCCCTAAAGTGCTGGCTCTCCCCAAGAGCAACGTGCCCAGTGTACAGCAGGGTCCAGGAAGAGTGATTCACCCTGGCCCTGTGGCTACTCACCATTTTGGGGGTCTTGTGGCTCATGTGTGCTTGCCTGGGGTCAGCTAGTTAGTGCCAGGTGTGAGAGTACTGGCTGTGTTTTAAAGCACTGAATCAGTGTTGTCTGTTGTAAACAATACTGCTTCTGTAAAATGTTGCATTTACACTTCACAGAGATGACCTTGGGAGGCCAGCGTCCCTTATCGGCGGCAGAACGGCTGTGCAGAATTAGAAAGTGGTCACGAAGAACTAAGGAGGACTTTCTCCGTGAGGTTATGATGCACTCCACCGCTGAGAAACAGGAATTGAAGGAGTGGCGGGACAGTAAGAAGAGGGACCAAAAAGAGAATGCGGCACACCAGAAAGAAGCCATGGAGCGGTTCTTAGATGTTATGGAGCGCCAAGTGGACATGCTCCAGATGATACTAGCTCTTCAAACCGAGCAGCTCCACGCCCACCCTCCTCTGCAGCCGCTGTCACAAAACTCTTTCCCATGTGCCCTCTCCCACCCCACACACCCACACACCCACTCTCTCTCTCTCTCTCACTCTCTCTCTGTTATCAACCTCCTGGCTCCATTCTCTTCCCACAGCATTCCACTCCTCCCTCCTCACAGTCCAGCAGTGTGGCCTCCCACTGCACTCAACACCCAGCCCTCTGCAGTCTGGCCCTGCTGAAGTACAGCACCCGCTGCATTGTACTCCAAAGGAAAAGGTTGGATATGATCCCTGGACATATGCAAATCTGTAGCCGTCCCAGGATCTCACCTCCTCTGGAGATCTTCCCTTCCCCCGTCCCCCTCCCTGCCTGATGAATTTTTGTTGTTTGACTCTCTCCTCCGGTTGTTGTCCTTTAATAAAAGAATTGTGTTGGTTTGAAAGCAATCTTTATTGTATTAAGTGAAAGCAAAAAGAGCACTGCAAAGCAACATACAATTATGTTAAACCCCCTTATTGCATCATGTGCACCAGTCACCTGCTAGCATTACAAGCACTGCAGTCCTGAGCATAGCAGCAAATATTAGTGGCTTTCAGCTTCAAATTGCTGCCTTAAGGCATCCCTGATCCTTATGGCCCCTCTAATAGCCCTGGTCTCTGACTGTTCAAACTCAGCCAGGCACTGAGCCTCTGCGGTCCAGCCCTGTATGGAGCGTACAGCACGCGGCTATAAGCATAGGAATATTGTCATCGGCCATGTCCAGCTTTCCCATACAGGCATCGCCAGCGGGCTTTTAAACGGCCAAATGCACACTCAACAGTCATTCTGCACTTGCTCAGCTTGTTGAACTGCTCCTTGCTGCTGTCAAGTTGCCCCGTGTATGGCTTCATAAGCCACGGCATTAAGGGGTAGGTGCGGTCTCCCAGGATCACAATGGGCATTTCGATATCCGCTACAGTGATCTTCTGGTCCGGGAAGAATGTCCCTGCTTGCAGCTTCTTGAACAAGCCATTGTTGCGAAAGATGCGTGCTTCATGCACCTTTCCGGACCAGCCTCTGTTAATGTCCGTGAAACTTCCGGACTTAGTGCTATATCTGAGAGCATACACTGTCATAGCGGTACACCACTGCCTCAGTCTTCTTGGTCAGATGGCACCATGTACCTAGGTAGTTCAGCATGCCAGATTACACCTCAAAAAGGTGCAGGCATGGCTAGAATCAGTGCATTCCCCAAGTTGCCACCATTTAGAGAAAGTGGTTTGAATGCCAACATTAGTTTTGTCATCTCTAGATTGGTGGATGGACCCTCTAAAAGTTTGCGTGGGGGGGGTGTTCCCTTTCTTCCCCCACTACCAACTTGCACTCTAGTCACAGACGTGTCTCCTCTGGGTTGGGGAGCTCATATGGGGTCCCTTCAGGACCTCAAGGTCTTTGATCATTTCAAGATCTAGAGACTCTCAAACATCAGGGTATTAAGAGTGGTACATCTAGCCTGCATGGCCTCCCCACCCCACATAGTGGGGAAAAAAATTGTTAATTCTGACAGTTTGACAGTCATGTTTATATAAACAGAGGGGCAGGAAGCAGTTTGCTTCTGAGACTTCTGTATAGACAACTTAGTTCATTTCAGAGCAGCTTACCTTCCAGGGAAACAGATTATGTTAGCAGATTAGCTGAGCAGATCCTTCTGCAATCAGCATCAGTGGTCACTACATCCATATGTGTCAGGTCCATCTTCCAACTCTGGGGGACTCCCAAGTGGACAGGAAATGTCAGCAGCTCTGTTCCCAAGGGAGACTCAGCCAAGGCTCGCTGACAGATGCTTTTCTTCTGTCCTGGAAGAAATCTCTCCTGTATGCTTTCCCTCTGATTCCTTTCCTTTCCTTCCCAGAGACTTATTAAATTGAAACAAGACCATGCTCACCTCATCCTTATAGCACCAGCGTTTCCTCATTAATACTGGTATTTGACCCTGATATCCTCGTTGGTCAAACTGCCCATTGGATCCATTTGTAATTTCCCAGGACTTCTTCATCCCAACCTCTGAGCTCTCCATCCGGCAGCATGGATGCTTTTATGGCTGACACCCTTTGAAAAGTCCTTCTCAAAGGATATTCAGAAAGTGCTTTTGAATAGCATAAAACCCTCAACTAAGAGCATTTACCTGGTGAAGTGGAAGCGCTTCTCCACCTGGTCTTGTGTGAAAGGTGTATTTCCCTAGTGGACACCCTTGGGCCTCATGCTGGACTGTCTGTTGGATCTAAAACAGAGTTTGCTATTAGCTCAATGAAGATGCATCTAGTGGCTATTTCAGCCCTCAATGTCTTGGTGGATGATGGATCCCTTCTTTCACACACCATCATCACCCAGTTCTTAAAGTGCTTGGTCAGATTATACCTCCCCATTCAAGACCCCATCCACCCTTGGGATCTGAACTTAATTCTAGCAAAATGGATTGATAACCTCGCTTTGAGCCCCTGGCAACTTGCTCCCTCTTTCACCTTTCCATGAAGGTAGCATTTCTCGTGGCAATTAACTCAGCCAGAAGGGTGGGAGAGTTGAGCGCTCAGGTGTCAGAGCCCCCCTACAGTTTTCCATAAGGATAAAATTTATCTCCATCCTCATCCAAAACTTCTCACAAAAGTAGTCTCTAATTTTCATGTTAACCAAGCAATCTGCTTGCCCATGTTCCTTCCAAAACCCCATGCACATAGGGATGAGGAAAAGCTTCACTCCTTGGATGTGAGAAGGGCTTTAGCTTTCTGACTGGACTAAATATTTTAGATCCTGTTGTTGGAGCAGCAGTGATCTGTATGCTCTGTATAACCTGTATGTTCAAAAGGTCTGTTACACCTTCCTCCCCCCCTCTTTTTGTCTCCTCTCCCTCTTTGAATACCTGTGAAGTGGCTTTCCCCCTCCGTCCTGGAATGCTTGTGGGATGAATGGGCTGTTTAAACAGCTGGAAGATCAGAAGAGCTCCCAAGTAGACAAGGTGTCTGGGACTCTAATTAGGCAGCGCTCACACACCAAATGCATGGACACTGGCAGAGGTGAAGTGTGACCAACCAGACTTGGCCAAGTCCTCTCTAGTCGCAGGCCATGAGGAGCAGGCCCTTAAAAGGGGAAGGGGCCATGTGCTCAGCAGTGCACTCACGAGCTTGTACCTCCCGTGAAGGCCCTTCACCCGGACCGCCTGGCCAGTGGTTCGCTGCGTTGCATTCCATCGTGCCTTGGGAAGACTTACCTTCATCGCACCGTCCATCGCTGTGCTGTGCCACACTTACCTTGAAGAACCCTGACATCTCCAGTGCCGTGCCTGTCCTTGGAGTGTGAGTATGCAAGTGTAAGTGTGAGTGTGACCCCCACCCCCGCCTTCTTTTGAGCTTAGCTATCAGTATAATAAACGTGCTGCTTTCTGCCAAACTCTGATGGGTCATTAGTCCTCCCTAAGCTTACTAGCTGGCCCAATTTCAGGTAACATCCTCTATGCAGTGGTTTGTAGCAGTTGCAAACAGAGCTAAGGGCTAACCAGTTTCCTCTCAGAAAATCTCATCTTGGATCTCATGTATTTGTTTATGCTACCCACTGGCTAATACAATCCCTCCATCTAGAGTATTGGCGCCTTCTACCAGAGCGCAGGCACCGTCTGTAGCTTTCTTGATGCAAGTGCAGATTGTAGATGTTTGTAAAGCAGCGAGGTCTTCAGTCCACACTTTTACTTCTCATTATGCCATTTCCTGTCAGTCCAGAGACGATGCCAGTTTCGGATGAATGGTCTTACACTCTCTGTTTAGGTAGACTCTGAACCCACCTCCATGTGTGTTTGCTTGTGTTACCTACAGTGGAATGGACGTCTGCAATCACTCAACGAAAAAAATATTATCTACTGTTGTTCTTTGAGATGGGTTGCACATGTCCATTCCACATTGGAGTCTGTCCGGTATGAAGGAACTGAGAGGGGTTGGGATGGCTCTGCCCTTTTATAACAGCATGCAGTAGCGTGTGGCAACAGAGGGCACTCCAGCAACTCTGACCGGTGCCACTGAGGGACAAAAATCTCCAACATCTGTGCATGGGGCATGCATGCATCTACGGTGGAATGTACATGTGCAACACATCTTAAAGAACAACAGTTTCAAAAAGGTAGGTAACCGTTTTTTAATATAATTTTGTTTCAGTTATATGTTTACTTCTAACGTATAGCACTCTCTTAGTTGTTGAATATTAACATTTAGGAATAGTAGTTACTCCTTGTAACAAAGTCTTTGGAGTTAGTAACAAAAAATTATCTCCACTCATCTTCCCAGTGTTTGTATTTTCTGATCTTATGGTGGATGATCAGTCGGGGTATCCCAGAGAATTGAGAGAGAAATATATTATGTCAAAGACTTTGGGAAGGTAAGCACCATACTTATTAAAATATTTAGGACTTATTTTCCTTTAGTTTTGTGTGGATGATGTTTGAACTGTAACTAGTATTAACTATTTGCTATTATTTTAGTACTGTTTCAATAATACCATCCTAGGCACTATGGTAATACAAACAAAAACACGGTGCTTTTCAGACGAATGAAAAACGAAGGCCCAGGTTCTCTCATCCTGCTCCAGCCACTTTTTGCCACTTAGGCCTGGTCTACACTACGACTTTAATTCGGATTTAGCTGCGTTAATCCGAATTAATCCTTAACCCGTCCACACAACGGAGCCAGTTACTTCGAATTAAAGGGCACTTAAAATCGATTTCTGTACTCCACCCCGACGAGCGGAGTAGCACCAAAATCGATTTTGTTAATTCGAATTGGGGTAGTGTGGCCGCACACCACCGAATTAATGTGGTTAAAAACCGAATTAATGTGCTTAGTGTGGCCACGCACAATCGAATTTATACAATCTGTTTCCCAAATTCGAATTATCTAAATTCGAATTAATCTCGTAGTGTAGACGTACCCTTGGGTGAAATCTGGCCTTAACTGGCCAGCTGAGAATTCTCTCGGCAGTTTTTACCTGGCATAAATCAGTGTAAATTTCTCCTTTGTCAGCAGCCCCACCATAGCCTGGCAAAATGGGGAGGAGCTGGGTGGAGCACACCTGAATTATGTCAATTCACAACTTGTTTATTTTCCATTAGAAGAGATCATAGCCAGTTAGAGCATCTTAGAGGCTATGCTAACTTAGATCAATGCTGGTGCTTATGCAGCTAATACAATTATACAGGGGGTCAGACTATGTGATCACAATGGTCCCTCTGACTTTCTAATCAATTAATAATATACTGTGAGAATCAAGGAGGTGTAACTTGCTCCCTAATGCACTCAGCTCAGGTAGTGTCTCTGTGCAGGAGAGAATCTGGGTGTGGACTTGTGTCCCGCAGTGTTTACATTAAGATCAGTGTATGAGGGAAATGGGCAAACAGTGGCTTTACATGTGTGTGGGGAGAAACTGATGACAAGCTGCGGCAGTAAGATAATGTGGTAACTGAGGTGATTTTTTTTTTTTTTTAAATCTGTCCTTCACTGTAGTTTCCTTCTGCTTTACAGGGAGCACTTGTACATGCATATAAAGCTGTTAAAAGGAGGAGGTAGGATTTGAAGGCCTTGTTGAAGAAGTTTGTTTTGCACAGAGTATTGGAAAAATTTTAGCCTCAGTGGTGGACAGTAGTTTACTTTCTGTTGTGTTCTTCCTCATATGATTTTTTTGAGGTGTTAATAGGACAGATGAATTTTTCACTGCAAAGAATTCTTACTCCTTAATGCAAAGTCCTCTTTTCAGTTGCCTGTCTTGTAAGTGGTTAGTTACGCCTATTTGAAATAGGGTACCCCTGAAAGTAAGTTCCTAGAGCTGTCTGTAAAATGAGTCTTTCTATTCTGAATGTCCAAGGGTGAAAGAGAAGGTATTCTATTTCTTTGTTAATAGGTAGCTAACAGCACTGGCAGTAAATCTGAAATGTAGCAGATCTGTTCATTCATTCCCAATCTATCTGGTTTTGACATCTCTCATTCCACTGCTGGGCCATCAAGTACGGGCTCCTTGGATTGCTGGGATTATGGCTGCCCATTTGCTGGTTTCAGCCCTGAATGATGAAACCAGTTAAAGCGGGAACTCTGAATTAGGGCACACAGGTAGACCTATTTTCCTTAAGACAGCCGGGTTTGGGCCTTATGCTTCTAATGGACTTGGGTTTAAAACATACTTTTAATTGTGAAACTCAAATTTATGATTGAGTACTCACAGTTCTTCTTCGAGTGCTTGCTCATGTTGATTCCATTCTAGGTGTGTGCGTGCCCATGTGCGTGGTCGTCGGAGATTTTTGCCTTCGTGGTATCCAGAGGGCCAATTGTGGCACCTTCTGGAGTGCTGCACTCATGCGGCAGTATATCAGGCGTTGCCAGTCCTACGCCTTCTCAGTTCCTTCTTACCACCCATGGTGGTTAGTCGGAGTGCCTTTCTTGCTTAGCAAGAGCTAGTAGTTTTTTCTCCTACAAACTTCGTGCCTTAGGGCCTTTTGAAAATAGTTTATGTATAGTATTAGTTAAGTAGTTGTTAAGTGTAGTTGTTAGTAGTAGTTACGGGCTGAAAAGAAGTATCTTCTTCTGGCCAAAGGGTCACAAGCAGGGTCACACCTCCTCGACTCCGAAGAACAAAGAGGCCAAAAAGCTCGATCTCTTTGGGAGAAACATTTATTCGACTACCAGCTTACAATTTCGGGTGGCGAATCATCAAGTACTGTTGGGCAGATATAATTTTAATCTCTGGGACGGCCTCAAAAAGTTCCAGGAATCGCTCCTGCAGGGTTTGGCCCAGGAGTTCGGCACTCTGGTGGAGGAGGGCACCGCAGCGGCCAAATGCTCCCTGCAAATGGACTGGGATGAGGCGGATTTGGCGACTCGAGTGGTCGTGTCGGCGGTGGTTATGCTGCGCAGCTCCTGGCTCCAAACAGCGGGCCTCTCCCAGGAGATGCAGACCTTGATTCAGGACTTTCCTTTTGACAGGGTTGGTCTCTTCTCCGAGCAGATGGACGTCAGGCTGCACGGGTTGAAGGATACTAGAGCCACCATTTGCTCGTTGGGCATGCACACGCTGCAGTCTGCTTGTAAGCCCTTCTGGCTGCCTCTGCTGCCATCGTCGACGCCCTTCTTCCTCCCCCTCACTTGCATAACCTGGGCCCGCCAAACACGTAGGGGGCCAAAAGCGCTCATTTTTAGAGCCCTGCAAATCCGCTTTATATCCGCAGATGCGGATATCTGTGGATCATTTCTGCGGGTAGCAGTGTGGATGCGGATACAAATTTTGTATCTGCGCAGGGCTCTGATGGTAAGAGCTGGGCGGACAGCTGTAAGGAATCGTGGCACGGATCCTCCACCTGCCCTGGGCAGGGACACTGGGCGGGGGGCTGCTTGGGTCCCCCACCCAAGGCAGGTGGAGTTGCCAGCACGGCTCTCCTGGACCCGGCTCCGGCTGGGGAGGGAGGCGGCTTGGAGCCACAGCCTGTCCATAGTAAGAGCCAGGCGGGCGGCTGTGGGGAGCCACGGCGGACCCTCCACTGGCCCTGGGTGCGGGGCCTGAGCAGGCCCTGGGCAGCTCTTCAGGTCTCTCCCTCCCCGCAGCCAGGCCAGCATGGAGCCCAGCCAGGGAGTCGTGGCGAACCCTCCACATGCCCGCAGTATGTGGGGCTGAGAGCAGCCCCTGGCTGTGTCATAGAATCATAGAATATCAGGGTTGGAAGAGACCTCAGGAGGTCATCTGGTCCAGCCCCCTGCTCAAAGCAGGACCAATCCCCAACTAAATCATCCCAGCCAAGACTTTGTCAAGCCGGGCCTTAAAAACCACCTCCCTAGGTAAAGCATTCAAGTGCTTCACCACCCTCCTAGTGAAATAGCTTTTCCTAATATCCAACCTAGACCTCCCCCATTGCAACTTGAGACCGTTACTCCTTGTTCTGTCATCTGCCACCACTGAGAACAGCCGAGCTCCATCCTCTTTGGAACCCCCCTTCAGGTAGTTGAAAGCAGCTATCAAACCACCCCCCCCTTCTCTTCTGCAGACAAAATAAGCCCAGTTCCTTCAGCCTCTCCACAAAAGTTATGTGCCCCAACCCCCTGATCATTTTCGTTGCCCTCTGCTGGACTCTATTCCCACAGCTGCCCACGCGGCTGTCCCCGACCGGGCTCTGGCGAAGATGCCTCGGAGCCACAGCCCAGCCCCCAGTGTAGAGCCCTGCAAATCCGCAGATATCCGCAGATAATTTTTGTGAATCGTGGAACGGATGCGGATACACATTTGTGTATCCACACAGGGCTCCACTCATTTTGAGGGTGCACTCGAGAGTGATGTCCCAGTCAGCTACCTTGATCCTTCCCGTCTCTTCCTCGACTGTCTATGTCCCTACCGTTTGGCTTGATTAGGGTCTTGGATATAATATCTCGGGGCTGTATCCTGCAATTCACAGCTGCCCCTCCCTCCCTGCCTCCTCTTCAGGGACCCTTTTCATGAGCAACTCCTCATTCAGGAGGTCAAAAAGCTTCTGTGCCTGGAGGCTGTGGATGAGGTTCCTTGGGACATTGAAGGAAGAGGATTCTACTCTCTCTACTTCCTAATCCCAAAGGCAAAAGGGGGCCTAAGACCCATCCGACACCTGCATAACCTCAACAAATCTCTCAAGAAGTTGAAGTTCTGCATGGTCTCCCTGGCCTCCACCATCCCCTCCTTGGATCCGGGAGACTGGTACACCACTCTTGACTTAAAGGACGCTTACTTTCATGTCTCCATATACCCAGGTCACACGCGTTTCTTGTGTTTTATAGTGGCAAGGCACCATTTCCAGTTCACGGCGCTGCCCTTTGGCCTGTTCTCGGCACCCAGTGTGTTCAAGAAGTGCATGGCGCCAGTGGCAGCTTACCTGAGACGTCGAGGGGTCCAGATTTTCGACGACTGGCTCCTCAAAGGCAGGTCTCCAGATCAGGTGCAAAGGAGCCTTGATCTGGTTCGTTCTACCTGCCATGACCTGGGCTTGTTGATAAACACAGAAAAGTCCACATTAACACTAGTTCAAGGCATAGAGTTTATTGGAGCAGTTCTCGACTGCACTTGGGCCAGGGCCTTTCTCCCGGAAACACGTTTTCAGGCCATGTTGGACCTGATCTCCCACGTAAGGAGCCATCCGCTCACCATGGCCCACGCCTGCCTGCAATTGATGGGCACATGGTCAGCCATGCTCGACTTCATCTACAGCCTCTGCAAGCGTGGCTGGTCTTGGTCTATATCCCCAGCAGGCACGCCCTGGACTGAGTGGTCATGGTGCTGAACCACGTCCTTTCATCCCTGAACTGGTGGCTGGATACCAAGTCGGTGCTGCAAGGAGTTCCCTTTGCGACCCCATCCCCGTCGCTTACCCTGGTTTCAGACGCATTGGATCTGGACTGGGGAGCCCACCACTGGTGGTTTCAACATGACGTAGCCCTTCACATCCATGTCAGGGAGCTCAGAGCGGTTTGCCTGGCCTGCCAGGCTTTCTTGTCCCACCTAAGAGGCAAGGTGAAGCAGGTCCTGATGGACAATACCGCTGTGATGTATTACATGAACAGGCAGGGCGGTGCCAGGTCTTTGGCCCTGTGTCGGGAGGTGCTCAGCCTCTGGGACTTTTGTGTGTGGCATGCCATTCATCTAGTAGCCACCCACCTGCCTCGAACCAAGAACGTCTTGGCAAATGGCCTCAGCAGGACCTTCTCGTCTCGCCACGAATGGTCACTCCATCCGGAGGTGGTCAGCCTAATCTTCCACAGCATGGGACTCCCCAGGTGGACCTGTTCACGTCCAGGCAGAACAGAAAATGCCACGTGTTCTGTTCTTGGCAGGGCAGGGACAAGGGCTCCCTGTCAGACACCTTTTTGATTCCGTAGTTGGGAGCCCTGATGTACTCCTTCCCACCGGTAACGTTGATCCACAAAGTACTGCTAAAGGTGAAGCAAGACAAAGCGAACGCCATCCTCATAGCCCCAGTGTGGCCTCACCAACACTGGTGTGGCCTGCTGCGGAGTCTTTCGGCCGCCACCCTGCTGCAGCTGTGTCTTTGGCTGGACCTGCTGTCCCAGGATCACGGCAATCTGCGGCCTCCGAATCTGGTGGCACTGCACTTGACAGCTTGGCTACTGCGTGGCGAAGTCTGGACAAACAGGCATGCTCTGCTGGTGTCCAACAGGTCCTGCTGGGCAGCAGAAAACCTTCCACCAGGGCTACCTACATGGTGAAGTGGAAGCGGTCTGTGTGTTGGGACTCAGATAGGCACATTTAAGCTGAAGCGGCCCTACTGCAGGACATCCTAGACTATCTGCTGCACCTTAAGCTCCAAGGCCTGTTGCTCTCTTCGGTCAAGGGCCACCTAGTAGCCATTTTGGCGTTCCATTCTCCATTTCAAGGCAGGACGGTCTTTGCCCATTCTATGACGGCACGGTTCTTGAAAGGTCTGAAGCGCCTGTAGCCAAATGTCTGGAACCCCTTTGGGATCTGAATCTTGTACTGTCAATGCTCATGGGTCTCCCCTTCAAACCCTTGGTTTTCTGCTCCCTCCTGGAAGGTTTCTTTCTTGGTCACTATAACTTCAGCACGCAGGGTGTCCAAGATCAGGGCACTCACCTCAGGGCTGCCGTATATGGTCTTCTACAAGGTCCAGTTGTGCCCGCACTCAGCTTTCCTGCCCAAGGTTGTTTCCCAGTTTCACACTGGTCAAGACATTTACTTACTGGTCTTCTGTCCCAAGCCTCATGCGACGGATGTTGAATGCAGGCTGCATACCCTAGACGTCAGACGGGTGCTGGCCTTCTACATAGATAGAACACAGCTGTTCCGTAAGTCAACACAGTTGTTTGTTGCTGTTGCAGACAGGATCAAGGGTTGCCCAGTGTCTGCCCAGAGAATATCGTCATGGATCACGGCTTGCATCCTCTATTGTTATGAGTTGGCAAAGGTGCTCATGCCAGCGATTGTGACGGCTCACTTGACTAGGGCGCAGGTGTCATTGGCAGCCTTCCTGTCACAGTTGCCGATCCAAGAAATCTGTTGGGCTGCTACCTGGTCATCCATCCACACATTCACAACTCATTATGCGCTTACCGAGCAAGCCCGGGGTGATGCTGGCTTTGGCAGAGCAGTGCTGAAAGCTGCAAGACCAGGAACTCCGAGCCCACCTTCATTGATACTGTTTGAGTCACCTAGAATGGAATCGACATGAGCAAGCACTCAAAGAAGAAAAAACGGTTACCTACTTTTCGTAACTGTTATTCTTTGAGATGTGTTGCTCATGTCCATTTACCTGCCCCTCTGTCGGAGTTGTCGGCAATAAAGAACTGAAAGGGCGTAGGGCCAGCAGTGCCCGTTATACTAATGCATGAGTGCAGCACTCCAGAGAGTGCCACGGCCGGCTCTATGGAAACCGCTAAGGCAAAAATCTCCAACGACTGCACACGTGGACGCGCCCACACCTAGAATGGAATGGACATGAGCAACAAATCTCGAAGAACAACAGTTACGAAAGGTAGGTAACCGTTTTTTAGGAACAGAAAATCAGGTTTGAAATAGTTTGCTAGCAGTCGTGTTACTTTCTGAATCAGTATCCCTCCTCTACCCCATGGTTGCAAGCAGGGGGAAGAATTGAAGGTCAGAGTATAACCCCTTGTGGGACATCACTTTTTGGGTCCTCAAGCAAAAAAGAGAGAAATGGTGACCTGATATTTTTAATGTAAAATGTCTTTAAAATGGAATTTTTCCCAAAAAGTCGTTGTGGATCGTAAAAGAGCAGCAAAGTGAAAACAGAAGTCTGAGTGGATTTGTACGGATTTCCTCCTATAATCTCATAATCAAAAATATTTTTTTTTGCTATATGTGTTGCTCAGAGTTGTGCAACCTTGTGATGCAGGACTTCATGTATTATAATGTCCTTTTGTCACTGGGCTGTATTAATGGGGCCTGGGTGGACTTTGTGAGTTTAAGTCAAAACCGTAGGGATACATTTTGAGAGTTTGTTATTGTGTTTTTAGCCATTTGTGCAGCTGAAATGCCAACAGTGCTTGTCCTCGGTATTCTCTTAATAGCTTTCAGTTTGGAGTTTTGGTTGTAATTTGATTTCTGTATTAGAACATTGATGGCTACCAGCATCTATCCTGATCTAATGTGCCTACTACTGATGTGTCTAAATACTGCACACCCAGTCTGCTGCATTCAAAGGGTTAGAAGACAGCAGCATTCTAATCACGTGTAATATCAAGTACCAAATGCCTTCTGTTTGATCTATTTTTATTTGTCACCCACATATTGAATAGTGCTTACAAGCTTTAACATACCTAAATTTTTATATTAGTGGTGCCTGTGGAGAGGTTAAATTGGCATTTGAGAGGACCACGTGTAACAAAGTTGCTGTAAAGATAATCAATAAACGGAGATTTATAACAAGCGCTGTGAGAGACACAGTAAGTATCTATTTTCTGACCATCTTGCAGTGGTTCTGAAGTATTTGGTACTCCTTTGTGAACATTATAAATGTTTATCGCTATAATTTAAAGTTTTCTGGATTCAGATGCATTTTTGTAATGTGTGAAGCTTTGTGTATATTTAAAAAAATAAATCAAACCACACTGTAAGAAATTAAGTGTATTAAACAATTAACATTAATTAATAGTCTAGTCCAAATGGTCTTGGTGTTTAATATGGCTAGATGCAGACTCCTTTTGTTACCTCTCCCCTGAGATGGAAGGATCCTTCACCTCTTGTTGGGACAGACTATAGTGAGTTTTTCCAGAGACAGCCTGAGATCCAAAAGTATTTTAAATCAAAGCTTATTTAGACAGTCGAGAAAAGCTCCAGTTAACTCCACGATAAATGTTCTAAGAAATATGCACAGGTCTAAGGCTCTCTCGCTCTGGTAGGCCCAAATCCTGAAAGCATCAGAAGAGGGGGATTTAAAAAAAAAAAAAAATCCCACTTTCAGAGTTCTATGCCTGCAGGTCCTTCCAGGCTAATTATTTCATCCCTCTCTCCCTGACACAGTGCATCTCAGACCAGCCACAGCTGTCAGTTTCCTTCCTGGCTTTGTTGATGTTGCCAGGTGCTTATTATTTTACTAGCCAAGAAGATACCTTATGTATTTGCATCTTGACAATAAGATTTGTAAAGCTATGCTATTCTGGAAACATTTCTCCGGTACAAGAATAGCCAGTTAGCTACCACGTTTACTGAAACATCATCTCCCTTCCCTCTCTGTCCCTCATCCTACCACAGTTGCTTGTCTGATTTTAATCTCTTCCTATAGCACTTGAAAGGCTCCTTTGATTCTGTTGCATTTATAGTTACTTTTTTCTTTGTATAAACCTTGGTCATTTACTTGTTAAGGGCTCCTTGTTTATGGGGTACATACAAAAAAGAAATCAGAGGACTACATCTCCCATGATGTACCAAGAGGTGAGACCGTGTTGCATTGTGAAAGATGTAGTCTAATCAGGGAGCCCAGCCATACAGGAGAATGGGAGCCTGAGGCACCCGAACTATAACTCCCATGAGGTACTGTGGCAGCATTTCAGAATAAATTTATTTTAATTTTGGGCCAAAATGTTAGAGTTTGTTTTTTTCGTCAAATACATCAAAATTTCCCATGGAAGATTTTAATTTAAGGAATTCTTTGTCTGTTTTTGTTGAAATTTTCAGCAGGAGATTTTTTTTTTTCTGATGAGCTCTGCTATTTACATTGTAGCCACCTTTAAATTGTTAGGATGGAGCAAATGTATGTTGTGTTTTCATAGGTACATTACTGCAAAAGTCCCTGTATAAACAGTATTACTGCTTGCTCTGTCTGACACTTCAGTTCTCTTTTAAATAGGATCCAGCTTTTAATGTTAATACAGAAATTGAGATTTTGAAGAAAATAAATCATGTGAGTATAGTCTTAAAATCTGATTTATCTTTTAATGTATATTCTGATTTTCTTGCTTGCTCTACTTCTTTTGGGGTTACTGTAGTTTGGTATCTAATGCTCCAGTTACAGTTAGGAGGAACAGCTTCTTAATTTTAATTTTGTCTTTTCCTGATTGGGTAGCAATGGCCACTTATTATGACTATTGTAGATAAGGTTACAAAACACTTTGTTCTACCCCATATCTTTACATGCTTGTTGTAACTTTTCCACAACTTGCATCTTTGAAATTGAAATTTGGATTGAAATTTTCTTTACTTGGTCTCTGCTCGAACCAGTGCACCAGAAAATAAGACTTTCCTTGATGCATCTTTCTGTGAATATTGTGAGATGGCCAAGCTTGCTGACCTAGCTTTGGCCTAGACCAAATCTCCACAGAACCACATGGTTGAAACTGCTTCTGGACAGAGACCCTAATTTAGGGTAGTTCATTATTATTTTTTTGTGTCAAGGTATAGTCAAGGTCCAGACTCCAGAGGAAATAATACAAAAAAAAATTCATAAGTAAATAAAAACATTTCATGGTCTATTAAAAAATGTCTGATGGTCCAGATTAGGCCCGTGGTGCACCTATTGACTACCCTTGTCTAGTCAATCAGAACTTACAGTGTGGGAATCTTCAGATCTGAGTTAATTCGATAACATTGTTTGAAACTTTCCATTGACTTAAATAATAAACCCCACAAAAGTAGTACACTTCCAAATATCTTACACACGCCATCAATTTGAAATTGACTAAATTTAATAGGAAAAAAATTAAGCCTTATACCTGCTCCTGAATTCCTTTGGCAATTTTAGTGGATTTACTAAATTTTACCCTTTTTTCTGTTTTTTTAAAAAAAATTCTCTCTCCCTTTTGCTGTATGTAAACCCCCCACAAAAGGGGAAGTCAAGTACAGTGGAATAGTATAATTGACTAGACAGACTGCATTGGCAGAGCTGTGTGGGAGCTCATCATAAGAATAAAAAGGGGGTTTCAGATTGTGATTGAGGTTAATCGAGAGAAATGTTTTTGGGGAAAACTTCCATGGCACATGTCTGCACTAAGCAGACAACCTGTCACATTAGTCTCACTACGATTAATATAAAATTCACTTGCATTTTTTTAAAAAGAGAAACCTATATCAGCAAGGTGTCCTGTCATGTATACCTTGGATTGCACGCCATTCTGAAATTATTTTTTGGGTAATATTTTCTTGTAATATTAGTTTTCATAAAATGATTGGGTCATTTTGTTGTTTCCTTCCTCTTTTGCTAGCCCTGCTTAATCAAGATAAAAAACTTCTTTGATGCAGAAGATTATTATATTGTTTTGGAATTGTAAGTAATTTGTATTCAATTTGTTCCAGAGTAAATGTTTTACTACCATAAATAAAATAATATAACTTGAACCTGATTTTATGATGATCTCAGGTGCTATCCAAAACCTTGGTAAAAGTGGGGGTTAGGATAGACAGGAAAGTCATTCTTTTGGAGCTGCAGAGACACTCCACTCCTGCAGGATTCTCTACCCTGTCATCCTGATCAACTGCAGCTGCTGTGGTGGATCACATAAGTAGAGAGTGTCTCAAAAAGAGCACAGGCCTGGATCATTGAGAGCTTTACTGTTCGAGATCTGCTTCTTAACCTGGATCTGGAACTTGTTGGGGAGCCAGAGAAGGGTAAGTGGGTGACCAGATGATGAGCCAGTTGCAGGTTCTGCATGGCCTTCACTGTCAGTCCCAGGTAGTAGTCTGAAGATGATGAGAGCATGGATTGTTGTATCTACAGGTTTGCATGATAAGAAGGGTGAAGTCTCCTGGCTACCCAAAGAGGATAGAAGGTGTTCCAAGGCTTTTTGCTACATTGACAAGCAATGGCCAGGTGGTGAACTTCCTTGGAATAGTGCTTCTGCTTTCCTGTTAACATCACCTCCATCTTCCCTGGGTTTAGTTTCAGCCAGCTCAAGACCAATTTATTTTTACTTTGCAGGTCACGTTTAAGAATTTATAAACATGTGCCCAATGGATGCATTTCAGAAAATGAATATACTTTACTTTTCATTGGGGTCTTTTTGTTTAGAGAAGCTTTTCAGTCTCAGGCTTTCCCAGTGAGTCTAACTTCTGAAACCAGTATATTGAATCTCTTTCTGTACTTCTGTTTCAGGATGGAAGGAGGAGAGTTATATGACAGAGTGTCGAGATCAACCAAGATGAAAGAAGCTACTTGCAAGCTCTATTTTTATCAGATGCTGTTGGCTGTAAAGGTAAATAGTCCTGAATTTGTATAAAGAAAAATATGTTTTTTTTCCTCTGACTGTGCAATCAGTGTAACTTCTTTACTTCTATAATTTGTGCTTGCATGTGTTTTTACAGCAGTAAGTGACTCTTCTCCTTATTCATAGAAGAGATTTAGGCCAGTGTTCCTTTAGTTATTATGCTAACCAACCTGGAAAGGTTCCACTCTCTTCCACGGGGTGGGCAAACTACGGCCTGCGGGCCGCAAGCCATTTTAATCTGGCCATCGAGTTCCCAGTGGGGAGTGGGGTCTGGGGCTTGCCCTGCTCCGGCGCTCCAGCCGGCGAGCAGGGTCGGGGACCGCTCCACGTGGCTCCTGGAAGCAGCGGGATGGCCCCCCTCAGGCTCCTATGTGTACGGTTAGCCAGGGGGCTCGGCTCTGCACACTGCCTCTGCTCCAAGCACCATCAGACCCACCCTCAGAAATCTCCCCCAGCTGCAGGAAGCTCAGCATCCTCTCCTGCTTCCTGCCCCCTTTGCTCCTCAGTTGCGGAGGGGAGGGGTCACTGTACAGGGAGCTGCTCCCCCATCCACCCAACCCCTGTGCATCTGGACCTCCCATACCCAGACACCCCCACCAAGCCTCACCCTGTACACCCAGAAACCCCCCTAGCTATCCATACCCAAACCCCACCTCACTGAACCTCAACCCCTGCATCTGGAGCCCCCCTGCCTCCAGACCCCAACCCCTGCATCCACACCACCCCCCACTGAACTCCCTGCACTCAAACCCCCACCCTGATGAGCCCCACCCCCTGCACCACCCTGAGTCCCCACATCCAGACCTCCACACCACTGACCCCCGATTAGCTGCATTCAGACTCCCACCAAGCCCCACTCCCCCAGCACCCAGACCCCCCTGTTGAGACCCCCACACCCAGACCCCTCTGCTGAGCCCCAACCACATTCACCTGGAAGCCCCTGCAGAGTCCAATTGCCCCTGCTCCTGGAACCCCCCCAACGAGCCTCTGTGCATCCAGATACCCCCTCCCAACACCTAGACCCCCCCCACTGAGCTGCCTGCACCTAGATTGTCTCCCACAGAATCCTCTCACCCCACACCTGGATCGCCCCACATTGAGCCCCTCCACACTTGGATCCTTCCTGGTTGAGCCTGCCTGCCCCACACCTGGTGCTCCTGGCACAGAGGGGCAGGGCCCCAGGGTGTTTCTGGGGCAGGCCCAGGCCTTGTGCTGTATCAGGGTGGGGCACAGTCTACTCAATCTGTGTTCCAGGGGTGGAGGGTGGGGAGGCTGCAGGGTGATCTCCCACCTGCGTACAGCCAGTGGCCAGTGCTCCCCACTGCCATGCTGGCGCCTCTGCATTTATTTATTGACAAATAAAGCTTGCAGAGTTTTGCAGACTTTTAAAATATGTGCAGAATTTTAATTTTTTTGTCGCAGAATGCCCTCAGGAGTAACAGACTGGACCCATGTCTCAGTCTGGACTCACCCCTGCCTTTCCCTTCAGGTTGGTTTCTTTGTCCCCTTAGGTACTTTCAGCAGCCTTTCTTCTTGGTTAGGCAAAAGAGGAGAGTCTGGAATGCCTTCCCTTCCAGCCTTAAATAGAATTTACATAAGGCGGAAAGCCTTTTGTTTCCCAAACTTAACCTCCTCCTTCTGTGAGTGGAAAATTACTAGAAGTCCAAGATAGTGTATTAGATGACCAGACCACCTGACCTACTAGTGTCACAGTTATGTCCCAGGACGCCTCCCAGGAGATATATACACACATACAGAGAACATGAAAAGGTGGGCGTTGTCCTACCAACTCTGAGTCTAATTAATTAAGAGAAAAAACTTTTGTAGTGAGAATCAAGACAGTTTAAGAGGTGTGAGAATACTTAACATGAGGAAATAGATTCTATGTACCTTTCCAATGATATCTTACATGAGCCATCTTGCATAAAGTACAGACAGTTATGTCATATCCATATCATAATCATATTTCCATAAAGAATATGGAGCATAATGTCACACCTCCACTATACAAATTGTTCCAACGCCGCTGTATAGTGGTGTCTGCCTTGGCAAACTAAGGCAGGGAAATGTACTTAATTTAAGAGGGTTTGAACACAGAAAAAGATATTGGCTGTTAATATCAATAAAAAAGAGAGAGAGGACCAAAATTCCTTAGTGTCATCATGAAGAATCTGTTCTGATAATGTGGCATATGGATGAACTGCAGGGATGGCATAGCTTTCCTGTTCTACATAGTCTACCTGTGGAGATTAGAAGCTGCTGTGCAGCAGCTGACAAATACTTTAAATCTTTTTGTGAACCATATAGCTTCAAATACACACTTCTCAAATGAATCTGTTTCAGTTACTTGCATCATCATCATTGGAAAGACTTGGAAGTTACATTTTAATGCATGCATTCTGTGTTGTGTGTGTGTGTGTGTGTGTGTGTGTGTGTTTGCATAGTATCTTCATGAAAATGGTATTATACATCGGGATCTGAAGCCGGAGAACGTGCTACTTTCATCTTCTGAGGAAACTTGTCTTATAAAGGTAAGGAAGAAGCTTCTGTCTCTGGATCTTTTTTCTTTTATTTTGATGTTCTTTATTCAGAAACTTTGGAATGTTCTTTAGCAATTCTTCTCTAAATATTAAATTCCAACATAAAAAAAAATTAACATGGCATTAAGATTGATGATGCTCATTCCTAAATAATAGAGGCTAAAAATACAGGACATCTTGAGTTAAGGTTCTTTCACAAACTTTAGAAATTGCTTCCTCTCTCCTGCATATTTCAATCAATATATACACATAAGTATGAATAAGAATTTTCGCATTTAGTATTTCACATAGCAATCAGTGGAATAAGACTCTGCTTCACTTGCATATGTCAGTAGTCTTAATCATGGAGTCATGACCAACATTTCGGTAATTATCCATGCGATTTGGTGTCAGTTTGTGTTTTTGCCTGACAGACTTAAGTACGTATTGAGTAGGTTTGGAGACTGAACCGTTGCCCTACATATAATAGTCTCTCCATGGTAGCCATGAATCCATAGTGCTGCTACTTATGCTATTCTCCAATCTGGGGATAAATAGAATACTTCAGACTGGTGTTCAATCCAGCAGTCTTTGCTAGCACTAAAACTCAAATCTCTCTGTCCCCAACCCCCCCCCCCCCCCCCCCCCCCCCCCCAAAAAAAAAAAGAATCTTTTGTTCTGTTGAGTTTTCTGCTGAAGTCCTCTGCTGGGTAGAGCTTAGTACATAGTTGTGTACTGGCAAATTGCCTTGGAAATTAGAGCCATAAATCTCTCTCCTGATGCATGCTGTCTAGTATAGTGTATTCTAACGTGTTAAAATAAAAACTGACAGTGTTATTCTCATATACAAGATTACAGATTTTGGACAATCCAAGATTCTTGGAGAATCATCACTTATGAGAACGTTATGTGGTACTCCCACGTATCTCGCCCCTGAAGTTCTCAATTCACTTGGGACAGCTGGGTATAGCCGTGCTGTGGATTGCTGGAGTTTAGGAGTTATTCTTTTTGTATGGTAAGACACTTCATGGCTGACAATTCAATTGAACAGTCATACATGGGTGGAGGTCTTAGGCCTTCATTTAAGTACGTTTGCTAATGAGTGTGTGTGTGTCATATTTTCAATCCTGGAACAGAGGTTGTGAAATGCATATTCTCTACAACAGTCAGTCTTTCAACTGCTGTGGTAAAAGCTGCATTATCCATTATATTTTTTTTCTCTTTTATTTAGCCTGTGTGGATATCCACCATTCAATGAACAAAATACTGAGCTATGTCTGAAAGATCAAATTACCCGTGGAGAATACACATTTATTCCAAGAGAATGGAAGCATGTGTCAGATATGGGTATGTTTACATTACAATGGTTGTAGAAGTATTTTGCTGACCCTCTAAGTTTCTACTGTACTTTAATTGGTATCTTTGAGTACGTCTACATTTCAGCTGGGAGGTGTGAATCCCAGTTCTCATAGAGACACCTGCACTAGCTCTGCTTCAGCTAGTGCACTAAGAATAGTAGCATTGCTGAAGTAGCACCACCATTGGCTTGGGATTGTTGCCCAAGTATGTACCCAGGGATCTGCGCTTGCTGCCCAGCTTACCATGGCTATTCCAGCTATTGCCATGGCACTTTCTGTCTTCAGAGCTCTTTATAGACATAAAATAATTTCGCTTCTCGGCCTTCTGGCTAAGAGAGGTCAAAACATTTCCATTGAGCAGCTTTCACTAACTCCTCTGGGTAATCAGAGGAGTTTCTTATTAGTGTTGAGGTTATTCTCTTTCTAATAACCGTACCAAGTTCAACCCAGTTCTGAAAGGTATGAAGCTGACCAAAATAGTGCCAATGTCCAAGTAGAGTTAAGACAATAGGAAAATAAATTAGACATCATTTAAAATAGTGCAAGTTATACTAAGGGCATAAGTAGTCCCAGTCAGTACAACAGAATCACCAGGTGTAGTGAAGAGCCAAGATCCGGTCAGTCTACTTTAGGTGAGGCTAATAATGTTATTGCATACAATATAACTATTGCTTTTTCACAATGCCTGTTAAGACTTTTTTTTATTATGCAATCAAACCAAAAGTCTTAGGGTCCTGGTTAAAATGCTTGAGTGGAGGAAACTGCCCTAAAAATGCAGTAGACACTTGTATAAGAATCTGCAGGAGGTATGTGTTACTGGTAATATGTTGTTTAATTGTAGGCACTCAGGCTGTATTGACTCAGGCACCAAATCTTAGCTAGGTCTCAACCTGGGCTCCCATTTGGAAGCCTAACTACCTGATTTGGTGTAGGTAGTTAGGTTTTTAAATGAGTGCAGTTTTGCACCCACAATGAAATGTGGTCACATAACTGCACTTGCAGTATTACAAGCATTCATAACAGTTTTAGGCCTTAGTATGTATTTACCGATGAGCACCGTTGATAACACAAGAGGATTTCATTGGACAGTGGAGTAAAGCATGTGTACTCAGAACAGTCTCTTAACAGTGAATGTGTGAAATGGCTTACAAAGCAGGAAGTGTTTACTTGTTAATGGAAGAAAACACTTTTGCTAACCCTGAGCTTCCATGCTCTAAAGTGAAATATTTAGATTTATTTTATTAATGTACATTACAATCCTTTGTGCTGCCTTAAACACATTGGATCATTTATTTTAAAGTTATGGTGTCATTAGATTATTGGCTTTATGCCAATCACCTTATTTTGTTATTTTAGCTTTGGATCTTGTGAAGAAGCTGTTAGTAGTGGATCCAAATAAACGTCTTACAACGGAAAAAGCCTTAGAACATCCCTGGCTTCAGGTATGTGTTGAGACATGTATTTAAAGTACAGTACAGCAATAACATTCTGGGAGGGGTATGACCTATTTGTTATCATGTGGCATATATACAAGACTTAATTCACAAGAAACGTTACGGCTAGTTAGACTAGCTGTATAAGGTGGCTTAGAACAGTCTCTCTCATGGCTTAATAGCTCCTCCTTAATGAAAATTCAACAATTGTTCAGTGGTTTGATTTTTCAAGACATTACCAATGTCTGAAGAGGAGTGAGCCAGCAATTGCCCAGCAAGAGAGTATGCTCCACCCCTCAGAGTTCGGAGTGGGGCAGGGGGAAGGGTAACTGCTATGATCATTAGAGGACCCGTGCAGCATGTCAGATCCTTGCTTGAATGGAGCCCACAGTGTGGAAGGGGTTCCTTTTGTGACTTCATTGTCATCAGACCAACTATGATGCTTGGAATTGGAAAATTCCTACTCTGCATTCTTCTGGGTTCACTCACAGTTCTGTATCTCTGCAGTCCCGTGAAACTCCTGGAGTGGATTAACTGGGTACAGATTTACATTTTAGGTTTTAGTTCTGTGCAGTTTATTGTATAGTAAACTCTGCGAGATGGGTTTTAAAAACCACTGATGATGGATATAATGGGAAAGGAGGCAATAAATTACAAGGGATAAAAGATAAGTGGGAGTGGCATTATAGACGAGATGAGAATTTGAGACGTTTCAAAGTGTAGTCAGTTGAATTTCTTAAAATTCTGGTTGTATTCCTCCTCTGTGGAGGGCTCTGATTGCCACATTGTAGTTTTAGTGAGACTGACAGACACACGGGTCAGAAAAGAGTTTAAAAGAATATCACAGCTGAAAAATGGTGCTTTGGGTTAATGGTCATAATGGGACAGTGAATTTAGACACTAGCTTTGCCAAGACACACATACCAAGCCATTCTTGAACTGACAGATGTGGCCTGGGGTGTCGCCCTGGAAAAGTAATGCTTTGGCCAAAAGGAAATCTGACAAATTATTCAGCATTTAATAGACGATACACATTTGCATCACAGCAGAGGTCTTTGGTGATAACTTGGAAACAGAGTTTTGTATGCAGGATTTTAATCTCGGCTCACTTCACAACTAGCAGGAGAAAGTTTCTTTCATCTGACAAAAATATAGGGGGCAGGAATACTTTACTTTAAGATGGGACTGCTATGGTTTCTACCCTCCACCCATCAAAATCCAAATGTCAGTCAATCCCTATTTTTAAAAATATTTCCTTACACGCCTGGCTGCCATCTTATACGAGTTGTTTGCAGGTGATGTACCCCTGGCTGCTCTGAAGGCCAGCATCCCAAATGTTCAGTTCTAGATGCCAGGCCACTTGAGCACCACCAGAGGAGCCACTTGAGCTCCTGTAACTGTGCAGTGAGGTGCTGATGACCCTCCACTCTCTCTGCCATTGTCTAAGTATTGTTTTTAAAAACTAGCATAGGAGCAGCACGATGGATGCGTGCATCGGATATACAGATGATGTCTATCAGGCCGCAAGAGTTTGAAATGTCTTAGTATTTTTAGCTCCTTTGAGAAACTTTCAGCTATTAATAATAATTCAACCCCTCTGTCCAAATTTTCATTTCTTAACACTACATTTTTTTAACCAGTAAGACCGCCAATTTAGTGTTGAAATATTTCTCCTGGTGTTTAACCTAAAATTAGGCCCCCCCCCCCCAATTTTTTTTTTTTAAACTCCAATGGCCTACTCAAGACCTAGAGCAGAAAGAGCAGCATTCAAGATAGGTTTTATAGTGTCCACTGTTTTTACCTGGACTCTATCAGGCTTTGTATTCTAGTTTCAAGAAATTAATATTAACAAAATGGATATTAAGCAAGCGATTTCCAAAAGTTCAAATGGCAGTTAGCTACTATTTGTGTCTCTGAAAATCTTGCCCTAAAGTGCACGGTGACCTATTCTGTTTCAGTTTTTGGTGGGTGATCCAGGTTTGATGTGAATAAGGCCCTTATGCTCCACAATTTTACATAGTCAAAGCTGGTTGAATGATACTGCAAGCCCAGTTTTAGCTCAGCGAGTACTCGGTGATCCATTGAGGAATGAAAAGATGAGAGAATAGCAATAATTTTTGTTCTTTCTTGTAATGCATACAGTAACCAGCTGACCAAAATTAATCATTCTGATGGTACAGAGACCACAGGATTCTATGGAGGATTGTGCAGCCAATTTTGCTGAACTAGTATTGCCAGTTACTGTTGCAGTCCTCACAGAATGTTGTCCTTCGAAATTTCCATGTATGCATGTGTGGGCTAACACGTCTTCCTGGAAGTGATGGACTCAAGTCTTGCCTAAGGAGTAGAGAAGAGCTCCCAAAGGACTAGCCACATATTTAACTTAATATCTGGGTCTGCTCTGAATATACTGTGTCTGTTATTTGCGAAGCTTATGTTGCATGGTTTCACGATCACGTCATACAGTTCCATTCAAGGTATAGTCCACACCTGTATTATCACCAGAGCAGTTTCTTTTCTTATAGCCCTGGACACTGATGAACTTGGTGTGTGCATGTCCTCTCCCACTGGCCATGAGGCATGTCTGACCCCACTTCTATCCAGAGAATAATTCATCTCATTAACAGAGATGTGCTTTTCAGATGATTGTGGAGTTGTCTTGTAGTAGTTTGAATCATAACTACAAGGTGGGAATCAAACCAGAGGTTCTCAAATTTATATGTGGTCTGAATCACGTTAATAGAGAGATTGCCCGGTTGGACACCACCCCTCACATTAATGACTGTGGACCACCTCTTTCCATTTGCCATTGCAAGGTACACCTCTACCCCTATATAACGCTGTCCTCAGGAGCCAAAAAATCTTACCATGTTATAGGTGAAATTGCGTTATATCAAACTTGCTTTGATCTGCCGGAGTGCTCAGCCCCGCCCTCACAGAGCACTGCTTTACCGCATTATATCTGAATTCGTGTTATTTCGGGTCCCGTTATATCGGGGTAGAGGTGTATATCTGTGCAGCTACAGCAGTAGCTTCCCTGGAAAATTAACACTAAGACATTACTTTATGTGTTTTTATTTTTTAATGTGGGGAGTGCCCTGTCCTCTTTTGGGAAAAGTTAATCATGTTATTTTTGCTGCTTTTTTAAATAAAATCTCCCATCAGTTCTGTTTCTTTCTCTCCTTCTGATCGTACTACATTTCCACTTGTGCAAGTCTCCCCATTTCCATTGCACGTGCTTCCCAGCCATTTGCTTCCTTTCTCTGGCTGTTGACTGGTTCCTCTTTCCTCCCCTCTTCCTCTTCTGCAGCAAACCCTGGCCTAGTGGAAGCAGCAAGATTGGCTTCTTCTTGCTTCCAGCTACTTTTACAGGCAGTGAGGAACCTGGATACCTGTAGCAGGAGCTGAGAACCAGGAGAACAGTATCCTGTGACCAATCAGCCTGTCCACAGACCACCACCATATGCTTCATGGTTCACAGTTTTGGAACTTCTCTATGAGCAAATTGTGTCTCCAGTGGGGGATTGGGTAGGCAGAATCCTATACCCTGTATTACTTTGTGTGTGTGTGTGTGTGTGTGTGTGTGTGTGTGTGTATATATATATATATATATATATATATGTATATGTATATGTATATGTATATATATATATATGATGCCTTGTAGCAAGATGATTTCTAAATATAAGGTAGAGTGTCATAAGCAAGTTTCCTTTGTGGCTTGCTTGTTGAGGGGATTTGTTGGAAGCACTGAGTCAGGTTAAGAACTTTCTTAGCTCTTGACAACACTCTTTCCATGGCATCCCCCGTGCCAGACATAGTACAAAACTGTATTTTCCCATTATGCTATGACCATCTTACAATGGCATCATGTGCCCTTGGTAGCTATGAGACTTGTTTACTGTAATTCCCTTTTAGCAGGCTGTCTTCCTCATCGATTGCAGCTTGTTTAAAATGCAACAGTGTATTTGAGCTGCTGTGATCGTATTGCATGTTCCTTGACTTTTGTATATTGGCTCTCTATAAAGTCATTGGTCTTGAGTTTGCAGTCTTGATTTTTAAAGCTTTTAATGGTGTAGATTCATTAGCAGCTTCCATATCTTCATCCTGACTGGCATCTCTGTCCAAACACCACATCCCTTTGCTGTAGTGGCCTCTAGGGTATGGACTTTGCCTCTCAACCCCTCTTTCCCAACTTCTAAATGACACAAAAAAAAAAAAAGAACAAAAAATCCCTAAAAATGCATGGCCACTCCTTGTTAAACCCCCGTGCTTTTTTTAACCTTCCTTTTCCTTGTTCATTTGTCACTGACCCTGCTTACTCCATTCCCTTTTTTTTCTTTAAAGTTTTAATGTGGTAGTTCTTAAAATCTCAGGCAGCTTTCAGAGTGTCTGTTTTTATTGTTCTTTGGTGCCCCAGTCAATTGTATGTGGTGTATGATGAATCAGTAAATATGGTATAGCAGAAATATATAAATAATTGTAAGACTTGGTATATTTTCCTGCACCCTTCATAAAGAATGTTACTTTTGAAAGCTCCCTTCAAACTGAAGCTTTTAATTCCCTCTCCCACCATCACAGGCTGAAGAAGGTTGAATGGAGTCTCTCAATACCTTTCCTAACTATCTTTTGTAAGAATTACTACTAAGTGTGCAGCCTCTTCAGCATTCCCAGCCCCAGGGAGACTGGTCCTGGGAACCTAACCTGAGGATCACATGGTAGTGCAATGCCCTAACCACAGGACTCACCTGACCAGCCATATCTTAGAATTTTTTTCCAAACATTCCATGTAACTAAATGTTTATAATTCTTCACAGGATGAAAGTATGAAGAGCACATTTCAAGAGCTACTCTCACAAACAAGAGTCTCTATGCATCCGCCACAGACATCAAGACTGGTATGTTTTTTGCTTTGTTGTTTTTTAGTTTGCATTTAAAACACACTGAGTAGGTCACAGCTGAGAGTGCCAGATTCAGGACAAACTGCTGAAAAATTGGGAAGACTCACCCCAAACCGGTGGTTATTATATCGTTAGATTATACCAAGCCCGTAGCAAAAATAAACTTCTGTCTCACTGCACTGGTTAACAAGAAATCAAAAATGCAGTCTCCTTAGGCATTCAGGCCTTTGTCTCACCATCCAGACACTGGACTCTGAGTGGTTACTGAAAACTAATTTAATTAAACATTGGGTTCTTCCAGTCTCGAGAGATCAGCACTTAGCCGGGTCAATATATAACTCAGATCTTGCCCAGTAATCACGCCGCTGCCAATCCTTTAACTAAAATCTAAAGGTTTATTAAGAAAAGAAGAGAGTTAAAATGGTCAATAGATCATATGCATACAATAATTGCAGTGTTCTTATATCAGGTTTGTAGAAGTGATGTTCTAGACCTGGGCGGCCAAATTCACTGAACGCCCGAGCCGCATATGACAATCTTCAGAAGTTGGAGAGCTGGGATGGACCTGCCGGGGCTCGGGTCTTCAGCCACGCGGGAGGTGCCTGCCGGGACTTGGGGCTTCGGCCCTGCTCCTGCTGAAGCCCCAAGCCTTGGCAGGCACACTCTGCAGGCCTGATGCCTTGATCCTGGGGAGATATTTGGGGTCACATGCCTCGCCCCCCCCCCCCCTCCCCTCGCGTCCCCCCGATTTTTGTCAAGGTTTGCTGGCCCCGCTAGGTCACCTGGTGCCGCCAGGTCCCCTCCCTGCACAGCAGCTCCTGGGGCTGGCAAGCTGGGAGCTGTGGCCATGGGAAGAGGGAGTGGCAACAGCTGGGAGCTACAGGGAGAGCCGCTGCTTTTGCTGCTGCATCTCCCTGAGGAGCTAAAGCAGTGTCCCCGCCCTGCAGCTCCCAGCTGTTTGCTGCTGTCTCTCCACATGGAGCTAACACCTGGGAGCTGCAGGGAGGGGCCGCTGAGGGTAAGAGGGGAGTGAATCTGGGGTATATGACTCAAGCTGTTGGGTGTGTGTGTGTGTGTGTGAATCTTTAAACTGTACCCCCCACACACACACTCTCAGCAGGCACCAGTCATCTCTGGCAGAAGCTCTTAGCCCCAACACCCTGCCGCAGGTCAGCAGTCCCGAGCCTCCCTCCCCCCAGTCTGGTAGGTGGAGAATGGGGGTGTGTGGGAGCTCCATGAGCCACACTTCAGCTGTAAAAGAGCTGCATAAGGCTCGCGAGCTGGCTTGAAAAGTCTCTCTGGTAACTTCCAAAAAATTGGAAGATCCTCAGTCCATTGTTCAATATCCTCCTTTTAGTTGTAAATCCATAGTCCAGAGAATCAGAGCAGGAAAGAGACAAAATGGAGTCATCTTAGGGGTCTTTTCTACCCTTTGCCATGTGCCTGGAAATTTTCTGTTTCAAACAAAGCTCACAGCCCAGTTCATGGAAAGTTACTGGCACAAGATGGAGTCCAGGATCACATAAGCATATCGTCTGTCCATACATGGCTTGATGACTCTCAGGGGCAGCCGTTGCCCATATCTGTGCTGAGGTGTCCACAGGAATATCTTTCTGGGTATAATGAGTTTCTTCTGTGGCCCATTATGAGAGCTAAGTGTATTTAATGGGCCATCAAACTTGAATAGTCCATTCACAATGTGCTGGATAAACTGGATGTAAACTACTTTGTGGGTGTTACCCCAGGAACAAACACATTTGAGATATATGTCCATAACTTCAGATACAGTGATGATACGTGGATTTAAACAGGATAATCTTATTTGGAAAATCGTAACTTTTCCATTGACACCTTACAAGATATACTTCGTACAAAATCTGTTGCGATTGTCTAACAGTGGCAATATCATTGATATAAATGGTCATATTTCAATCATGCGGCATCACAGTAGGAATAAAATGACATATTTTATATGCAGAGAAGTTGAGATTTGAAAGAAATCCTTTGATAGTAGTAAAAATTGATTTTGAATATTTACCCTGCAGAAACTTTTAATTTCAAGCTAGTGTTATGTAGCACTATGCTGGTTAGCTCTGCCAGTTACTATACCTTTCACCAGTAGATATTTAGGCCTCATCAAAGCACTTAAATATATGCTTAATTCTAAGTGCATAAATAGTCCCAGTAGACTTCAATAGGACTATTCATGTGCTTAAAATTAACCATATGCTTGAGTATATTTGATGTATCAGAGCCTTAGGGACCCAGATACTTAATATCCTAGGAAGAACTGACATTAAGTGAAGGCTCGAGATTGTGTGCAGGGTTGTCACTGGAAGATGGTAACAAAGAAGGATAAGAGCAAGATTGAGTGGGGAGCTGGGTGCTTGCTTGATTTTATTTTACTTTTTTGAGGGGAAAGAATGGAGAGAGTAAGAGAGGGGATTAAGAGCAGCTGTCTGACGTTAGAGGATCATATATGCTTGCTGATTGGGGAGGCCATTGCCAATCCCCACTGTTGTGCGGGTAACGTAAGGATCATCCCATCCTTAAGACAGGTAGCTATTATTGCATCCTTGCTGTAAATAAATCCAGCTCAAATGCCTTGTTTGTAATCAGAACTTTTAATATGTTCTTAAATTGTTTATCACATTTAGTTTGTCGGAAAGAAATTATTTGTCGCAGTTCCTTGATCAGCTTTTTTGTGCATCATCCTTCAGAGTGTTCATCTGGTTGTTGTCAGTCCAGGAAAAATTGACACACGAGGGGGCTTTGATGTAACCAGGACAAATAAGACTTAGAACAAATGTGTGTTTACTAAATGACAGATGATCAAGAAAGAGGGAGAACTAGTCATATCAATTTTGTGGAGTGACAGGCAACTTGATAAATTGTTTTAAGGATTGGTAATGGTGAGAGTGCAGATGATGATGACTCTGAATCTTTTTCCATTGTTGATTGTGTTTTTGCTCTCAGTTGTCATATGGGAGGCAGCAAGGAGAGTTTCTTAAACATCTTGAACTCACAGTAGGCATGATAGTTGGGCTCTGCTTTCATTCTGAACATATATTAAAATTAAAGGTGTTAGGTATTTGTGTTTTGACTTGCATAGTCATGCTCCTGCCTCTTTCTTCTAGCCAACCACAACCCGAAAACGTCCCCATGAAAAGGAAGAGGAATCTGGCTCTTCTAAGCACGCTGTTCCTTCTACGTCATTTCAGGAAAAAAAGTGAAGTGAAGGGAAAGTAAACTTACTTGAATTGCTGCTTTTGTCTACGGATTATACAGATTTTTATAAGAAATGTTTTTCTCTTAATAATGGAATAATTGTTCTGTACTAATCATTGATAAATAAAAATAACTTTGTAAGAATGGGAGTGACTCACTGACTTGGACAACAGCTTGTGGGGATTCCCATACGTACAAAGTAAAATACCAAGCAAACTATCACCTGCCCTCAAACTTCTTTCTGGGGAAAAGTTATCCAAGAGGATGATGGCAGGCCAACCCCATCAGCAGTTGACCCTCCCTGGTAGTTTAGACCTCTGCCATTCTGGTTTCATACTGCTGGAATGGCACAGAGATGGTATTCACAGCACTAATGGATTACCTCAGGGCTCAGAAGTGAAATATACATGCTAATGTTGCTGGACTTTCTCAACCATTGACACCATTTTATCATAAGGAGATGCCCTATGGGAATCCATAATAGGAATTTGCTTCAAGGTCATTCAAATGATCCCAGAGCATGTGATGAACAGCTGATCCTCTTCCCCCACAGGTCATTACCAATTAGATGGTAAATTCTGGGGTGATAGGGTCCATGGCTTTCTGTTCTGTAAACTGCCTAGTATGCTTGCAGCTGCTGTAAAAACAAATGATGCCATCAATATATGGTTCGCATCTAGTTCTGTCTTCTTCTCAACAAATGTATACATTATTTAACTTAGAAAGGGGATGAATAAGAAGGGATATTATAAAAGTATATAAAATATTTAATGATATATAGAGAGGTAGGTAATGAGAAGTTCTTTGAGTGCTTGCTCATGTCCATTTCATGTTAGGGGTTTGTGTAGTGCATGCACCATCACCAGAGATTTTTTCCTTCAGTGGTATCCGTCGGGCCGGCTCTAGCACCCTCTGGTGCTGTGCGTTCATGCACTGATATAAGGGGCCCGGCTGGCCCCGCACCCTTGTGGTTCCTTCTTACCACCCATGACGGTCGCTGGAACAACTTATCTTGCTTTTGCAAGGCGATCATTCAGTGGTTTTTCCTGTTGTTCTCTAGTTTAGTTATATTCAGTTTTAATTTCTAGTAGTAGTATACATAGTTAGATATTTTTAATGTATATAATTAGACCCCCTCTCTTAGCTTAGAGGGGTTACTTTCAACCTTGGGGTGGGACATGCCCTGGTCTGTGGTCTTCAAACCTTGTGCCTCCTGTAGCAAGCCTATGCTGGTGAGCGACCCACACTCCAGCTGTTTGAAGTGCCTGGGAGAAGCTCATGTACGAGAGCGTTGCCAAATCTTCGGCAACTACAAGCCCTGTACAAAAAAGGACGGGGAGGCTAGACTAAGAGCTATCCTAATGGAAGCTGCTCTTAGGCCGGCATCAGAGCCAACCCGGTCGGACTCAGCACTGAGCACCTCGGCTTTAGTGCAAAGCACCCCTCAGGCACTGTGTTTCTTAGCACTGTTCCCTTGCTCCAGTACCAAGAAAGAAACACAAGAAATAAGGGTCAAAAAGGGGGCGCTCCCTGGTACCAAGGAAGGACAAACAAGGGGAATACAGCAGAGTACAACCTGTGTTGGGCCATTCTGCTAGTGCCACCGTTGACTCCTCTCTGCTTGTAGGTGCTGATGAGTCCAGAGCGGGACCATCCTCCAACGTTGGGGAGACATCATGGAACGAGTGGGATCGCAGTGCCTTCCACCCTGGAGGTCTTTGCAGCTGCCAGGGACCTGATGACGTTCCCGGTTCCTCCGACCTCAATGGGACAACTACTAGCTCTGATGAGTGTGAGCAGAAGGGACACATTGCCTGGAGCTGATACCCAGCACTGGGCCCTTTGATGCTGACTAGAGGAAAAACGGCCCTTCTGTCGTCAGTGAAAACTTCCCCGCTCTTCCCCATGGTCCCCTTAAGAGGACTAGTTCCCAGAGTTGGAGCCCACCACACAACCAAGGGGTCACCGCCAATACCCATCCTATGTTCCACTGGATCTTGGTGCAGGCCCTCCCCATGGCACCTGGCCCAGAGGTGAGTGGCTGATGCAGGTCCAGTGGCCATTCAGGAATCCCCGTGGGGTTTTACTCCAGTACCGGAAATACCATCCAGCTGTTCCTACTCGGTGGTGTCCGAGAGGAGGGCTCCTCCACTGCACCATCCGGCACCGACCCAGTAGTGAGCCTGGTACTGACATGTAGGACTTAGGCCTAGCTTATGTAGTTGGGGCTGAAGAAGAAGAGGAAGGCCCACCCACCAGTACAGGCCTCTTCCTCCTCCTCCCCTGATGAAGCTGTCTTGGGACCAAGCAGCTTGGTGCCTCAGGACAACTTTAGAGCTCATCAGGAGCTATTAAAAAGGGTGGCTTCTAACCTGGGGCTAGAGGTGGAGGTTCTTAGAGTCCTCACATAGCCTTATTGACATTTTGGCCATGGCGGTCCTGTCAAAGGTGGCCCTACCCCTCACTGAGGTTGTTATGGGTCCAGTCAGGTCCCTATGGCAGACCCCATCCTCTCTCCCTCCCTCCCCACCTCAAGGGCAGAGAAAAACTACTATGTGTCTGCCAAGGGGTATGAATACCTGTACTTCCACCCTCCTCCCCGGTCCCTTATGATCACAGTGGCCAATGAGAGGGACAGATATGGAGAGCTAGGTGTGACCCTGAAGCAAAAGGACTTAAAGAAGCTAGACCTGTTCTGTAGGAAGATTGGGTTATAGCTTTGCATTTCCAACCAAGAAGCCTTGCTTGGGAGGTATGATTACAACATTTGGGACTTCATGGCAAAGTTTAAAGACTTGCTGCCACAGGACTCCAGGCAAGAGTTTTCTGCCCTGATGGAGGAAGGGAAGGGAAGACCAGACCATAGCCTGAGCCTTCCTCCAAGTGGCTCAGGATGCAGCTGATGTGGCAGCCAGAACAGTGTTCTTCGGCCGTGGTCATGAGTAAATGCTCCTGGCTCCAATCCTCAGGATTGCCACCTGAGGTCCAACAGTCCATCCATGATCTTTCCTTTGAGGGTACCTCCTCCTTCTTGGAGCAGATGGACTCGAAGCTCCATGGTCTGAAGGACTTCAGAGCTACCCTCACATCCCTGGCTCTCTAATCCCTGGAACCTTTGAGGAAGCATTTCAGGCCTCAACAGCGAATCCACTTCTTGGCTCCTCTGCCTTGCCAGGAGCTGTTTAAAAAACAGAGCAGGGGTTACAAGCACAGGCAACCGCTCCCCTCCACTTCAACCTCACTACCGGGTTCACACAGGTACCTGGGAGACCCCAAACAAAACTTTTGAAGGCACGCCTAAGGGCGTTATATCAGTTCCCACAGTGGATCCCGCCCCCTTTTTGTTTTCAGACCATCTCTCCTACTTCAGCCCGGTGTGGTCCCTCATCACCTCGGACTGCTGGGTGCTGAGAACAGCAGAGGAAGGATACCCCCTTCAGTTTTCTTTCTCCCACCCGCCACCCCATCCCCCTTCAGGAATCTTTCTCACAAGTAACTTCTAGTCCACAAAGCACAAGCCCTCCTTCAGGTAGGGACTGTGGATGTGGTGCCCTAGAATGGGAGAGGGGAAGGGATTTTACTCCCATTATTTCCTAATCCTGAAAGACAGAGGGGGTCTCTGACCCATCCTAGTTCTGTGCTGCCTCAATAATTATCTCAAGAAAGTGAGGTTCTGCATGGTTTGCCTGGCCTCGGCTATTTCCTCCCTCAACTTCAAAAATCCCTATTTCCACATCTCCATCTTCCAGGGCCACAGAAGGTTCCTCAGATTTATCATAAACCAGACTCATTACCAGTTCACTGTCCTGCCCTTTGGACTGTCAGCAGCCCCTTGCGTTTTCACGAAATGCATGGACTTGGTGCTCCTAGTGCTCGCCTCCCTTGACTGGTTTAGGGATTCCTAAGTGGTGGCCACAGGCATTCCCTTTGTCATCCACAAGCCTTCAGTATCCCTAATTTCAGATGCATCTGATCTAGGTTGGGGGGCTCACCTTGGAACTCTTGGCCTGTGGTTCCAGGAATGCTTTCCCTGCACATAAACTTCATCCCGACGGCAGGGCTGGGGCTCCAGCTTCAGTGGTTTATTACTTATTGCCCACATCCTGTCTGTGACTTTTGCTAAAAATACCTGTGCTAAAATCTTAGCATCACACTAGGACTTTTGTTTGATTAGTTATGTGATTCAAAACCCAAACCTGATAATTGGATGTACAAAGGGGAATATCAAGTAAGATGAAAGAGGTAATACTAGAGTGTATGATGGTGAGGAAGCACTGCTGTGTTCATGCCTCACAAATTATATTGAAAAAAGTGGACAGAGAATCTACAAAAAGGACTTGTCATCTGGACAATAATTCTCCTGAGAGACTAAGGCCTGGACTAAACCAGGAAATTCGGTCAGTATAACTACATTGCTCAAGGGTGTGAAAAGAGAGGCCTAGCTGCAGTGGTGCAGCTGTAGGGGTTTATATGTAGACAAGCCTTCAGTATTTCATAGCCCTGTTGATCCCAAGATATTAGAGAGAAGGTGGCTGAGGTAATATCTTTTATTGGTCCTACTTCTCTTGGGGAGAGAGAGACAAGCTTTCAAGCTGCACACAGCTCTTCTCGAGGTCTGAGGTACTCAGAGTACTGTCCCCAGACCAGAGGAAGCGCTGCCTGTAGCTTGAAAGCTTCTCTCTCACCAACAGAAGTTAGTCCAAAGACGATATTACCTCAACTACCTTCTCTCTCTCCTGAGAGATGTAGTGTAATGGGGTTTAGGGAGGAGGTTAAGAGGTGACCTACTCGCTGTCTGTAAGTACCGTCAAAGAAAGACAAGTCCTAACTCTTTGAAATAGCAGCCCCTAGCATCACAAAATACAGGGCCTGAAACCACCCGGCAACTCCAGGGTAGAGGATACCATTTTTGTATGGCACCAGTGTGTCATTAACCGCGGGACTCGCTTGCCAAGGGCCGTAGTAATTTTCCCCTCACTTGGCATCTTTAAGCCAAGTTGTCCCAAAACTATACTCTGGTTCAACCGCACGTGGGGCGAGGGGCAGGCGCGGGGGTGAAAAGCGGCGGCCGGTCCCGCGGCCTGACCAGTCTCTCAGCGGCGCCGGGCGGGAGTTCGCACAACCCGCGGCCGAGCCCCCGGCAT